TGACATAAGTAAAATATACAAGGGGTTATCAATAAGATCACTGACAGGAGTATGTCGGGAGACGGAGAAAACTCAAAATCGTCGAGGCCACCATCAGGAATTTCATGTTGTGAGCCATGTGTTGGTCATCAGAGACAACAACATCAGGTAATTTAGGGAGAACAATGAGAACGTTCATTTGCAATTTCGGGTCTGCTACTGACCTGAGGGTTCACGTAAAGGCACCTGACGCGTGTTGGCAGTAAGCTCGCGACTGTACAGCTTTAGTAGCCGGAACTGGTCAGAATAGTCTGCTCTCGGATATGGCCTTATCCCAATGCTGCCTCAGTAATTTGCTATTTATTTGTGGTATTCCTGGCCATCCTGTTGCTTTCACACACTCAAGAAGTGTGGACATTAGTTATTACGTCCAAGGTATTCTTGGATGGCTTCTGTGCCTCCCCCTGGGGCAAGTCCCATCTCCAGTTTGGTTGGTTTGTATACTGGAGGGAGCCTTATTGGGATTCCGAGTTGAAAGATGATTTTTTCATGTCGTTCTGTAACCCAGTCTTAACCAGCTTCGGGGAGGGGTACGTTTGGTTCAGGGGATTCAATCCTCCCTTTCTATGACCACCACGGAGTGGCAATTATAATTATTGTTATTATAGTGTTAATATTATTTTTTTATTTGAAATGAATCTTATTATTGTTGACTTAGCGAAGAACAAACTTGCCTTAACGAACCCAAAAAACTAACAGCTCTCACTTTGTGGAAGTGGAAGGACAAGGCCAATACATTGAACATAGTTACAGCTGCTCAAGGCAAAAACTATTCCAGTTGATACTAACTTCAAATTCAACCAATCGGGCTCTAGCAATACTGGACGTATGTTCAAAGCTACCTTAATTAGAGGGGAGTTGGGGTGTGGGGTGGTGGAGAAGGTCGATCTGAAGAACATTAACACAACCTTCAGAAATGAATGCTCAAGACAGGTTCTGGATGTTGGAGGCCAAACATTTCCACCTAATATGTGGACGGCACTTTCCTGTTGTCATGTTACAGTGAGTGAGTATGGTTTTACGCCGCTTTTAGCAATATTCCAGCAATATCACGACGGGGGTCACCAGAGATGAGCGTCTGGTCTGGGCGCAACAGGTTCACTGAAGCGCCAGGAAATTCACTCAGAACAGGGATATTCTTGTGATTATTTTGCTTATTTTACCATTTTCAATTATAAAATATCTCTATAATAAAAACATTTTAATACAGTAAATCTTGTTTGGAGGATAATACAAACTTATGCTAATGACATAACATATACAAGGTGTGAAGAGTAAGCCAAGGACATCGTAAAAAGTAACTGAAGCGTCTCACCAATCACTCTGTTACAGAAAATTTTCTCAACAATAGTTCATTGCCATACCTACTGTTTAAAAACAAGATATCTTTTAGAAATCTTGCTTAATTAGGTTCCATGGGGTCTGATTATCAGTATACATTGAGGGTTTTACTTGTATTACATTATTCAAAGTAATGTAATGTGCACATATATCTTCCGTAAAGAATGGGGGCGGTGGGGTAGCCTAGTGGTTAAAGCGTTCGCTCGTCACGCCGAAGACCCGGGTTCGATTTCCGACATGGGTACAATGTGTGAAGCCCATTTCTGGTGTCCCCCGCCGTGATATTGCTGGAATTGTCACTCACTCACCAAAAAGAATGACAGTAAGGAGAAAATAGAATATGGGGATGTAAATCTCCAAGGTCATTTATATTACATTCTGTACAACGGCGGACAAATCCGAGAGGGAATGTGTACCAGTTATAATGTGTAACATCCAGACCTGCAGACATACGCCTTAAACAACGTAAGCCCTCGATCCAGAAACATGACCTGTACAATCCCTATCAGATCACATCGTCAGCATCTCAACCTCTCCATCTCCTGGCAACACACTAATTCCTCTGTACAAACATTCACAACTGGAGGAAGCGCAAGCTGCAAGAAGGATCTAGAAGCGATCCACGCCAGACGAGCCAAGTCATCTATCAATCGTGATCAGTGTTTTCCTCCCGAGTGCATGGGGCATTTCATTTTGATACAGCTCATTTAACACATAGCCGCTCTCCTATTACAACTGCCATTTCCATCAATTCTTCTAAATTGTATAACAATCTTTATGTATCTCTACATTACTCAAATTTCTATGTCTCACTCTGTGTGTGCATGGACTATAGAGAGGATATTACATGAGTGTTTATGCCATACTATGTTTACGACACGAGTGTCTAAATTCCGGTATTTCCCAAGCGAGAGCGAGTGTCGTAAATATAGTATGACATGAACACAATGTCTACATACAGAGACGAATGTTAGTGTTTACCTAAAAGGACAAGTCGCAACAGCAGCGGGCACAAAACTTGTCGAATGACGTCAGCAATCTAAGAGCTATGACGTCATAATGAGATTCGAATGACGTCAACAATGCCGTCCGGATGACAGAAACAATGTTCTGTTGTCTCGTGGCATGATATAAACCAAGGGCAGATATGATTTTTTTATCATATAATGGGTAGGTTTCTCGGCAGGAGAAAGCCAACGGATAAAAACGATATCCGCTGGGGTCATATGCGGATAGAGATGCAAATATCAAAGGCCAAGTAGGGACTACTTTCAGTGTTTATAAACAAACATGGCGTCGCCCTTGTCATTCGGCAATCGAGTCAGAATTAACCATCGGGAATCTGGATTAACTACAGAGATAATTGCTATCATTATCAAAAGAACAGTCTAATATACTTAAAATCAGTGTTTAACTGTGACGTCGCTAAGGCATTTTATAAGTTTTGGCAACTTTGGAGATATAAATTTCGAAACAATTTTGCAAGGGCCCTAGGCCTAGCCAAGCGGGATCAGTAGCTATATCGGTGCTTGTAGGACTCTGCGGCTTGAAACCTTTTCCACAAATTAAAATAGTTGGATTTGGCCGAAATATGTTTGAATTGTTACCTTGTTTCGTTTTGTTGCTGTGTGTACATCTGATTGCACTGCTTAACGTTTTGACAGGACAGGCCGACTGTCAACAACGTCTGAACGTGGCCATGACGTCTCATAGACTAGGGTTAGAGTAGCTTCCCTTTGACAAAGGGCAGTTACTCTAGCGGAGAGACCGATGGATTGCCGCGAAATGCAAGTAAAAACAATTGTTGTTTTGCGTATGTGTTGCTGCGCCACTGTATAAGAAACAGATTTCAGTTGGAACTATACACATCAATTACCCTCTGACGTAATAAATATTAATGCGCGCATTCCAGGAAAACTCGCAACGTTTAAGAAATGTTTTTGAGAGAGGGAAAGCGATTTTCAAGCACAGAATTAAAGAATGACATTTTATGATAAAGAGGTTATCACGCTTATGTGTTTGGGGATGGTAAATATCCTTTATTAGGAATAAACACTATGTATTCCTAATACAGGATATTAACTATCCCCAAACACACTCGCGTGATAACCTCTATCTATGTACGCCGATATGTTTGCCCTCGTTGGTAATAAATGGTATTTTTATTAACCCCGATATGTTTGCCCACGTAGGTATAAAATGTAGGTAAACAATTGTTCCCGTATTTATTACATATCATAAAAATCATATGTGCCCTGGGGTCATGTCACGTCACGAGAGTGTATTGTTTCCGTCATCCGGAGGACGTTCATTCGAATCTTATTGTGACGTGAGGTCGAGAAATTGTGGTTCCGCTTCTGTTGCGACTTGCTGTCCTCATAGGTAAACACTAACATTCGCTCTGTATGTAGACATCTTCTTCGGTATTAAATAGAGCATTGTATTCTCTATGTATGCCATGTCCTCCCACCGTGTCATTTACCTGAAGAAGAGGCAAAAAGTAGTCCCGAAACGTTGTGTACGTATAGGGCAAGAAGATCATAATCTGGAAATCCACTAATCTACTTCCATTATGACTTGCTACTCTGATTACAATGACAAATTAGATATGTAAATTAGCTTGTGACAGTGCTGTAACGCTGAGTCATCACTGCACCGTAGTTCGGATACCACCAGCCGAACCATGACCAGTGTGTAAAACACGCTGTACGAACTCAGTTGGACCAACAAATACTGTAAATACTTGAATAAACACAGTGAGATTGGCTTATTTCGGAAGCTCTTAGACCCGGCATTAAACCGAAACATTCGTGTATATTTTATTAGGTAGCATCTTCCCGACGCAAACGAGTTAACTGACTATCAAAGTCCAGTTTTAAAGTCAGTTAACTCTCTTGCCTCGGGAAGATGATTAGGTAGGCGTAGCACTATTCATTTGTATTAAGTTTTAAATCTTTGTTGTCATCTAATATTTAACCAGGGGTACATGTATATTTAAAGCAGGCGTATAAAGAGGCGACTAACGGGATCGGTTGGTCAGGCTCGATGACTTGGTCGAAACATGTCAACTGCGTTGATCGATGCTCATGATATCAATCACTAGATTGTCTGATCCTGACTCGATTATTTACAGAGCGCCATCATATGGCTGGAATATTGCTGAGTACGACTTTAAGCAACAAACAAAACATATGATGTGATATAATGTATGATAATGATAGGAATGCAATGCAAATGAAAGAAGAGATAAATAACTTCCTAATATAACCTAATAATTTGATGTTGTTGTCAATTTATTAACAAATGGACAGAAGTTGGTCAGCTTTTTAATGTGCCGCCGTCATATGGCTTGAATATTGCTGAGTGCGACGTTAAGCTTATTACTTTCGGGAATCGTTGACATGGCGTTTAGTCAAGGAGAGCGCTTATTGCAGGATGCGCGGTATGCAGCTCGGGACTTGGGCAGTTCTTTATGTCACTGTCAAGGTTTCAACTTTCAAGATTTATATGTATCCTGCTATTCACAATACCAAGCCAGGCGTGTCCAAACCCTCACAGTCTGCCAACAGTTTGCGAACCCCTAACAGATCATGCTACCTATACCGTGCGCAGCGTTCGTTCCCAGCACCCATACCTTCCGCGTGCCCCAAATCAGCATAGGGGAACATTTCAGTGTATTTCTGCATGAGCGCATTCAACATGGCTGACCAACTGAGCTACATCGATAACCCCGTGTTCTCCCAGTTTGCCTTCTATGGCTCGATTTTAATCGGGAAAACAGTCCTCATGAGTCCACTGACGGCGCTGTTCAGAATGAAGAATGAGGTATGTGGTCAGAAGCTTGTATGAAACTTCTTTGTCCAACTATCCACCTGCCACCATGATATACCGTCTCCACCCAAGGGCAGACAACTATGATTTCTTTAGGCTTTTACATGCGCTTGATGCAACTCCGCAATCACTGTCAGTCATTCGTGACCAGCTTGTGTAATTGACGAACAAGCCGAATGATGACTTGCTGGTGACGGAGATGTGCGAGTGATGACGAATCGACAAATGAGAGACAGATAAATCCAGCTTTTATAAATCAAGTCTATTTTGATCGTTTAACGGAGGACTTGTAATTTATTCAGATTTTTATACATATACATTTTTCGAGAAAAATACGGCAACTAAGGTATGTTTTCAGCATTAAGCGCATCAGCTTTTTAAACATTATTATTGTCTCTAGTGACTGGAAAGAACACTTAAAACATGGCTCACACATGCTGCTTAATGAAGTTGCTCTAAGTAGGGGTGTAACAAAAGTACATTCGTTTGTTTATTTTGTTTCTTTGTCGTTTAACGCCGCACTCAGCAATATTCCATATTGACAGCGGTCTGTAAATAATCGAGTCTGGACCAGACAATCCAGTGATTAACATCATGAGCATTGATCCACGCAATTGGGATACGATGACATGCATCAACCAAGTCAGCCAGCCTGACCACCCGATACGTTAGTTGCCTCTTACGGCAAGCATAGTCGCCTATTACGACAAGCATAGTCGCCTTTTACGGCAAGCATAGACGCCTATCACGACAAGCATAGTCGCCTTTTAGGGAAAGCATAGTCGCCTATTACGACAAGCATAGTCGCCTTTTACGACAAGCATAGTCGCCTTTTACGACAAGCATAGTCGCCTTTTACGGCAAGCATGGGTTGCTGGATACCTATTCAAGTATTTCTCCCCCCGGAACTTCACGGGTCCATGAATTAGAGTGTGTTGACAATTGTGATAGAATAGCAGCGTGTATGATTTCCAGGAGCTAGATAACCGTCATGGGATCGGAGAGGAAATGAAAGATATGATCATGGAATGATTTAGGTTACGGAACATGTTTGTCAATGTTTGGAAATTGTAAACATATTTGGAGACGGACCATGCCTATTAAATGAAAAGTGGTAAGTGAGGACGCTCACTTCAAGGTCCGGGGTTCGATCCCCGGCCGCGTCATACCAAAAGACGTTAAAAGATGGTACTTGTTGTTACCCTGTCTGGCGCTCGGCATTAAGGGGCTAAAACAAGGACTGGTCGGCTCGGAGTCAGTATACTGTGTCTGAGTGGGGTATTCATGTTAAACTGCGGCATGGTATCTCAGTGTGCTAGCACTATAAATCGGCATCAGTCCGGACTAGTACAAGCAGCCACACAAACACACACACGTACATGCACGTCGCTATATAAGTGCAATAATCTTGGACTCGACGTTAAATCCCATTTCACCTCACCTCACCCGCTCACCTCATCGCCAAGTGGTTGTGGTAGCATAGCCTGTATCTGTAATCTGACTGCCAATTTATGAGAGAAATACTTATTTCAAATGCCCAAATAGGTAGAATGGTTCTTGGGATGCATAGTCTTTCCACTGCTTTCATGGGGTGGTGGGGTAGCCTGGTGGTTAAAGTGTTCGCTAGTCATACTGAAGAGTGTTTTAGTGAGTTTGGTTTAACGCCGCCTTCAACAGTATTACAGTTATATCGCGGCGTGTCAGCTTATGTGGGAGGAAAGCCCGAAGTGATGCAGGAAACGTTTACCACTTCGATGAAACCCACGAGCACGGGTATGGTACTGACAAACATAGAAACATAATCGGGGCGAACCGGGATTCAAACCCACAATCATAGGTTTCTGGCGTGCCCAAGGGACGCAATACACCAAGTAGCCCTTTTGGTTTAGTAAAATATCCACATTTTGGCCCGTATGTTTCATTCTAGGTGAAAAATAAATTGATAATACAAACTCCAAGGTATATTGTTAAAAAATGCCTCGGTTGGTCCACTCCGTTAAATATAACTGGAAAAAAGATACTCCAGGCTTCTTGTGTAATTTGTTCTTCACTGGAACAAGTTGCCGTAGGCAGCAGTTATTTTTAGTTATATGTAAATGAGTGGCGGCCCAAGGGGACGTAACTCTGACAAGCGTCCCAAGGTTCGTCATAATTAATACCTTAACATTGTTATGCGTTATCGTTTGCGTGTTCGTGGCACAGTTGCGCTGTTCTTCATCACTTACAATATTAGGTATAGTTATTATTTCAGTAAAACAATTATTTACAGACGTGAAAATAATATAAAATGTTATTATGTAAGTAATATACCGTGTATAATCACGACTTGTGTGGCGATATTTCCAGACCTTCTCCAACCCAGAGGACCTGAAGTTGGGCGCACCTGGCATCAAAGTCAACTTCGACGACCAAACTGTGGAGAGAGTTCGAAGGTACATTGCATATCAATCCTGCTTACGCCAATAACTATCTATTCACGGACTCGGTGTCCCAGTCGTCTAAGGCGCCTGCAGAGTTGCGTCCCTTTGGAATCCCATGCCCTGTTTGGAATCTGAGATTCGTCCTAATTACTGATTTTGTGGTCGCCATACCGTGCTCGTGAGTTTTACCAAAGTGGTAAACGTCGAAGACCTTCATCTTTCGGCTTCCTTTCACATTAAGATGGCATGTCGTGGTATTATTGAAATACTGTACATAGCGTCAAACATACCTCACTGATTCTGGTAGTGCTAAACCTAAGCGGTGATATCGAGGTACGTTTAAGGGTGGCCCTTTACACTACTTTTAAAAACAATGTTTCCTCCATCACCAGTGTTCCCACCCCAATTTTGCAATGGACCCTTGAAGTACACCTCTGAGGCTGCGAACCCCCTTAATACGCGACCCGTGAAGGTCTTCAGCAACACATGTTTGCCGTAAAAGGTGACTATGCTTGTCGTAAAAGGCGACTGACGGGATCCGGTGGTCAGGCTCGCTGACTTGGTTGATGCATGTCATCGTATCCCAATTGCGTGGATCGATGCTCATGATGTCAATCACTGGATTGTCTGGTCCAGACTCGATTATTTACAGACCGCCGTCATATAGCTGGAATATTGCTGAGAGCGGCGTTAAACAACAAACCAACCAACCAACCCTTGGTACGCGGGATTCGTGGCTCTTTTTAGACGTATTTGGGACACAGCTATGAGGTACACGGGACGTATATATAAAACTGATAATGGTGTACGTAAACAATCCTTTACATATATAAATATATAATTTTATCGATATTTTTATACGATGTAACTTCAAATCAAACCCTTATCACGATGCTGAAATTTGTGTTAAGTATTGTTCGGAATTTCGGGATTCAGGAGTGAGCAATGAGACCTGTGGTGTGTATGTGTGTGCGTGTGTATGTTTGGGAGCGTGTGTGTGTGTGGGTGTGTGTATAGCGGGAGTTGGGTTGGGTAGGGGAGCGGGTGCTTAAGTCCCTATCGAGCACAAGAGGTTTTAGAAGTGTCTTTCATGACGACCTCTATATACATACATATATATGGATACCGACATTTTGCGTTTATAAAGTAGTTCAATATATATGTATATATATATATATATATATATATATATATATATATATATATATATATATATATATATATATATGTGTTGTTTTTCTCCTGTTTACGGGAAACTGAGTTGCCCAGTAGATTAGAGTGTTACTAAGCAGTGCCAGGATTTGCTGATCGTGGGTCCCAAACCATGACCTTTGAGTTCTCGACAAGCAAGCTCTAACAGATTTGATCATAGTCGAAAACATCCCCCATCTGCAGCACGTTTGGCTTTCCTGCCATGTAACTGTGGCATGTAACTGAATACTGTTCAAAGCGGCGGTTAACAAAAGCAATCTCACTCCATGTCTAGCCAATCTCTTGGTAGTTTCATGAGTTGTCTTGGGCACGCCAGAAACATTTGATTGTGGGTTCGAATCCCGGTTCACCCAAATTATGTTTCTAGGTCTGTCAGCACGTGTGAGCTCGTGGGTTTCACCAAAGTGGTAAATGTGTCAGACCCGCATCAGTTCGGGTTGTCCTCCACGCTAAGCTGACACGCCGTGATGTAACTGAAATACTGTTCAAAGCGACGTTAAACCTAACTCACTCACTCATTCATGAGATTTCTTTCCTTCTTGTTTGTTTGTTTGTTTGTTTGTTTATTTATGCCGCACTCAGCAATATTCCAGCTATATGACGGCAGCCTGTAAATAGTCGAATCTGGACCAGACATTCCAGTGATTGATGCTATTAGCAACTATCCACGCCGTGTGGGTACGATGACAACCAACCGGCGAGCCTGGCCACCCGGCCCATCAAGTCACGACTCTTACGACCAGGATAGGTTGCTGTGGACGATTCTAACCCTGAATCTCAACTGGGTTCTATTCCTCTATGGGACGAACCGTAAACGTGTCATCTTTTTTTCAGATGCCATCAGAATGACCTTGAGAACATCTTGCCCTTCGCTGTGATTGGCGTGCTGTACGTCCTATCGGATCCCCTACCCCACGTCGCCAGACGCCTCTTCCAGACGTTCACAGCGGCACGCCTCATCCACACCGTCGCCTACCTCGCCCCACTGCCGCAGCCAATCAGATTCCTGGCCTTCGGCGTTGGGGCAGTCGTCAACATGATCATGGTCGGCCGTGTCATCATCTGTGGAACCCTCTAATGCGACGTTGTCGACAACTTTTAACACGCCCTCTACTTGGACATGTATATCTCTATGTATACGTAGAAAGAGGACGATCATTTGATGTTCTCACGGGGCCTGGGATATTTTTGAATTTTAGTACTTGTTCCAAAACATGCTGGGAAAAAATGTCCTCAGATTTTTCCAAAATTATTTACATCATTTTATGATGTGTCACTGGACATATTGGCTGCTCTGGTATGGGTCCAAATTGGTAGGTTTCCAAGTGCTGACGGAGAAAACTATTTTGTCTATTTTGTCAAAATCACATAGTTTGCCCTTTAACCCGTGTTGACAGCGATTAACCAGATACGCCTATCTCATGTACGTCTCTACACTGCCGAGCATTCTAATGGCCATATATAGACCAATAGCCGTCTTTTTAAACCGTATTTACAGTAAACATCCTTATCTCGTATACGCCTCTACACTGACGTGCAGTTGGACATATAGCTCAAGATACACGTGATAATCGTATTTATCTTTATTATGCCTCAAAGTGAGATAGACCAATCACAGAGCAGAACTACTAACCCCACATGAGCCCGTATACCGTCAGTAAAAATCCAAGATGGTCGGGTAGCCCGGTGGTTAAAGCGTTTGCTCGTCACGCTGAAGACCCGGGTTCGATTCCCGACATGGGTACAATGAGTTAAGCCCATTTCTGGTATCCCCCGCCGTCATCTTGCTGGAATATTGCTAAAAGCGGCGTAACACACAGGGACGGTTCACCACCCATTGTATTTGCGACTGAAAATGGAGTTTCGTGTTTGCAAAACAAAAGTACCAAAACATATTTCGGGTCACGAACATTATTTGTCATACATTTCGATATGATTATATACAAAATCAACTTTAACCAAAAATATTATTGAAAACTAGGAGACCGCCGTTGGAAGCGAAAGAATACACTCTGGTCAAGTAACAAAAATGGCCCTTTGCGAAACCAACAGTCTCGATTGACGAATTCAGTGAGTAATTAACAGTTTATAACTAAGCGTTTTCCAGAGAATAACAAACGGCAAAAAGTGATATTAACTCCATAAATGACCATCTGTCACTATTTTGCCTTGTCAATGAGGACCTAACGTAATAAGGACGTCAACACTTACGATAAAGGGAGACAATTTAAGGGGAGTTAATTCTTGTATGAAAATAGTTCCGTCAAAGTGTTTTGTTCACTGCAGTGAAATATCAAGTTTTATGTTCACTGCAATAAAAATATCTCTTTTCTGAACTTCGGAAAACTCAGTCTTTCACACTGAAGTATATGATAAATGACTTTATTTATAAAAAAAATATAGAGAAAAAAAGCTTACAAGCTTACAAATAGCAACGTCATAGAACCCACACTCCGGCGCAGTGGCGACTCAGCATAACACTATGGGCGAGGCTAGTATGTGGCGATCACATGTACGTTTTCTGGGGTACGAGTTTCAAGCATTTTGTTTATAGAGAACAAAACAACAATCCTCCAAGAATTATGTTATCGTTTGTCCGGCATTACTGTCTAGTGTTTAGTCCAATCAAAGATTTGTGTTTTATATTAGTATCGATGTCCGATCATTAGCATCCTTGATATTCCAGTGCAGTATATCTACATTCTGTTAATATAAATACCCGAAAGCCATTCGTCACTCTAGCTTTATCTGAATCAGATTCGAATCACCTGACACAACAAAAAGCCAGGAGAACTGTAGATATGCGACTTCACTTTCCAAGTTAAGTAGCGAATTGCTCCGGTTTATTTAATGAGAGAATGTATAGGCATACAGTGCTGGATAATTACCCAGGATGGGTTATTTCATCTGTATCAATCTATAACGAAACGTAATAAACGTTGCCTGTCATGTATTGTGTGTGCGTCATTGTGTGTGTGTGTATTAGAATAGGTCTTCAGCAACCCACGCTTGCCGTTAAAGGCGACTATGCTTGTCGTAAGAGGCGACTAACGGGATCGGGTGGTCAGGCTCGTTGACTTGGTTGATGCAGGTCATCGATTCCAATTTTGTGGATCGCTGCTCTTGTTATTAATCACTGGAGTGTCTGGTCCAGACTCGATTATTTACAGACCGCCGTCATAGAGCTGGAATATTGCTGAGTGCGGCGTTAAACAACAAACAAACAAACAAACAAACCAAACCAAAGTAAGTAGATGTAACTCAACTGTGTGCATTGTTGCTCATAATGTATCAATCACTGGAACGTCTAGTCCAGATTCATTTATTTACTGGACTGTGCGGCGTTAAACAACCAACCAACCAACTGCAATGTAATCGGCCGCCGAAGTAAACACTGCTTTCATAAAGCGGACATTATAGACAAGACACGAATTTCATAAGACGAAAACGGTTCATAACAATTATTTAATAAACATCTGGTGAACAAACATTGTCACCCCCTATAGGTATGTAGGTCACAAGACTGGGCTGTGAATCAGTTGCATTGTCGTCTCTCAGGACACAAACCCATTCAAAAGAATATCAAGTAAAATAATCAAGCTACGTGGTCCCCGTTCAGTAGATAGCCTTGATGATCTTGTACACCATGAAGAAGGTGGCCCCATAGCCCGTGAGGTACGTGGCAGCTCGGGTGGGTTGGGGAAGAGGAAGGAGATACGCCACGGTGTGGAGAAGGCGAGACGCCGCGAATATCTGGAACACTCGGGTCGCCTCGGTAGCTCCCGGTTTGGTAGACACGTACATCAGACCGACCAGCACGAACGGCAGGACATTCTCGAGATCATTCAGGTGGCATCTGAGAACAGAGTGAGTGAGTGAGTGAGTGAGTTTGGTGACGCCGCTTTGGGCGGTATTTTACCCTGTCCGTTTTATGTGAGAGGAAAAACCGAAGTCTCTAAGACGTTTACCACTTTGATGAAACGGATGACCTAGCGGGTATGGTGCTGACAAATCTAGAAACATAATGAGGGTGATTCTGGGTTCGAATCTACAGTCATGGGTTTATTGTGCACCTAAGGGACGCAACTCTGCACAGGGAATTGTGGCGCCTTAGACAACTGCTGTGTCCCAATTGTGTTGCGTCAATGACTTTCATTCATATCATACATGTGTAATTCTAGCAGGTTGCAGACCGCGGGCACAATAAGAGTATCCAAATCTACTTAGAACCAGACGTCATGCCTTTCATCTCCCGGTCAGGTTATACCTCCTACATATCGTCCTTACTTAAGAATTAAAAAAGTAGGGGTTGTTTATCGTACAATATAAGATAGCTGCGCGATAATTGGCAAAGAACAATGAAGAACGAGGCGTGGTTTATTTCACGATAAAACATTGATATGTCATGACGTTATTTCTGGAGATTCGAACGTTCGCGACGTCATATATTGGACGATGTTATTTTTGAGAGAGGAGTGTCTAGTGACTGGTTCCCCATAGATGTAGCTGGACAACGCAGATAAACGCGATGGCCGAACGATCGCATCCAAAATCGGGAGTGATATAGCAACCGGTATTTGGGAGACAAGATGCAGGTAATCGATGTGAGGATTGTGAGAATATGCGGGAAATATCCACCTGTGCATAAAATGGACTTATCCGACATTGCCGAGCGCGGATTCTTTTGAGGGCGTCATCATTATTAAAATACGTGTAAATAATTTTGAAGCTTGCACATTTTATCATCACTCTTCAAGAGGCCGTACATTATGTTGATATCTCATATAAGAAATATACAATTCCCACTCGTCGTTTATTTCTTAATAAAACACTACAGGGAGAATAAACCATGAGGGACTATCTCATGTACGTTGTCTGGTGTGCGAGTTTCAGTTGTCTCAATCCGATTACCAAACATCGGTTTTTAACACAGATGATTACCAAACATTGCTTTCTTAACACAGCTGATTACCAAACATCGGTTTTTGACACAGATGATTACCAAATATTGCTTTCTCAACACAGATGATTACCAAACATCGGTTTTTAACACAGACTGATTACCAAATATTGCTTTCTTAACACAGATGATTACCAAACATCGGTTTTTAACACAGATGATTAACAAACATTGCTTTCTTAACACAGATGATTACCAAACATTGCTTTCTTAACACAGATGATTACCAAACATCGGTTTTTAACACAGATTGATTACCAAATATTGCTTTCTTAACACAGATGATTACCAAACATCGGTTTTTAACACAGATTGATTACCAAATATTGCTTTCTTAACACAGATGATTACCAAACATTGGTTTTTAACACAGATGATTACCAAACATTGCTTTTTAATACAGATGATTACAAAACATCGGTTTTTAACACAGATGATTTCCAAACATTGCTTTTTAACACAGATGATTACCAAACATCGGTTTTTAACACAGATGATTACCAAATATTGCTTTCCTAACACAGATGATTACCAAACATTGCTTTCTTAACACAGATGATTACCAAACATTGCTTTCTTTACACAGATGATTACCAAACATTGCTTTTTAACACAGATGATTACCAAACATTGCCTTTTAACACATATGATTACCAAATATTGCTTTCTTAACACAGATGAATATCAAACATTGTTTTCTTAACACCGATGATTACCAATCAATGCTTTATTAACAATTTACAATGTAGTAAAATCCGGCAAAGTAAACGGACATGCTTCACAAGAGACGGATTTCATAAGACACAAACTGTTAATAATAAGTATTTAATAGTCTACATTTGAGACAATGATGACATAAATGGACATCTGGTGAACGAACATTATCACCCCCTGTAGGTATGTAGGCCACAAGACTGCGTTGTGAATCAGTTGCATGGTCGTCTCTCAGGACACGAACCATTCAACAGATTATCTAGTCAAACAATCAAGCTACGTAGTCCCCGTTCAGTAGATAACCTTGATGATCTTGTACACCATGAAGAAGGTGGCCCCATACCCCGCGAGGTACGTGGCAGCGTGGCTGGTTTGGGGAAGAGGAATGAGATACGCTACGGCGTTGAGAAGGCGAGACGCCGCGAAAATCTGGGTTTGGTAGACACGTACATCAGACCGACCAGCACGAACGGCAGGGGTGAGTGAGTGAGTTGGGTTTAACGCCGCTTTTAACAGTATCCCAATTATATTACGGCGTGTCAGCTTAATGTGGGAGGAAAGCCCGAAGTGATGCAGGTCTCAGACGTTTACCACTTCGATGAAACCCACGAGCACGGGTATGGTGCTGACAAACCTAGAAACGTCATCCACAATCATGGGTTTCTGGCGTGCCCAAGGGACGCAACTCTGCACAGCGAACGGCAGGACATTCTTGAGATCATTTTCAGGTGGCATCTGAGAACAGAGTGAGTGAGTGAGTTTGGTGACGCCGCTTTGGGCAGTATGTCCCCCGCCGTGATATTGCTGGAATATTGCTAAAAGCGGCGTAAAACCAAACTCACTCACTCACTCACTCACTCACTCACTCACTCACTCACTCACTCACTCAGTAGGTTCAATAAAGATTTGATAAAGTCGTAGGTCAAGGTCGCTACATGGAGCCTGACTCTATTCGCCTATTCTCTCCATGGGACTCGAGATTGCGGAACTCCTACCAGGCTTTACCTGAGTCATCTCTTAAACCCCATACTGGTAGGCCAGTAAACTGAGTCGCTGCTGTGTCCAAATTGTTTTGCGTCAATGACTTCCGCCTCAGCTATTTCAGTCATATCATACATGACAATCGAGTGTGTAATTCTAGCAGGTTGCAGACTGTGCACAGTTAGAGTATCCAAATATACTTAAAATCAGACGTCATGCCCTTGTTCTTCCGGCCAGGTTATACCTCGTAATATCGTCCTTGTATAGAGGATATAGAGAATCTCACCCTCGTGTCATTTGATATCAAATATATCAACACGAGTTGATAAAAGTGGAAAAATTCCGAGGCTTACCGAGGATTTTTGACACTTTTATCAACGAGTGTTGATATATTTGATAACAAAAGACACGAGGGTGAAATTTTATTTATCATCCAACATCATTCTTCCAACTTTTTCAATTTGTAGACAGTAATTAGCAGTGTCTTCAGTGTAAAAAGTACTGCTAACAGCTTCAGTAGCAGAGCCATTAGTGATGTCATTTGATTGTGACGTCATGGTAAAATGACGTCACAATGGTCTGCAAAGCACTGGGATTTAATTTCATTGCAGCGATATCTACAGTGTAGATATCGCTTGATCTCATCCAAGCGATATCTCCTGTGGGAGCCAGTTTTGGATGATAAGTTATATTTGTGTTCATGTCTATGTTTCCTACACGAGTGTCAGAATTCCGGTATGTCCCGAGCGAGAGCACGGTGAATACCGGAATTTAGGCACGAGTATAATGTTCTATTTATTACCGAGGAAGATGTCTACATACAGAGGCGAATTTTAATGTTTTCTTATAAGGACAGCAAGTCGCAACAGCAGCGGAACCACAATTTGTCGAATGACGTCAACAATCTTCAGCCGTGACGTAGTTTCTAGTGTGACCTCACGTCACAATAAGATTCGAATGACGTAAACAATGCCGTCCTGATGACGGAAACAATACACTGTTGTCTCGTGATGTGATTTGACCCTGTGTGTGTTGGGGGGAAATGGCCCTGAAAGTTTTCCATCCGACAAAATCCAACTTACCTGATTTCTCAAAATATTTCATGTAGTAACTAAACTAAACCGATCCTGTTTTCATTCATATGATTATATGTTGTTGGGAGTTACTAAATACATCCAGTCTCCCCACAAGGTAGGGTTTCATCGTGACCGGCAATAGTGGTAAGTCCATCTCGTGCAGTGCGTATTATATATAGAATGACAGATTTGAAAAGCAGGGCAAAACACAAGAATGCGTGACAAAAGAGGCCACTAAACTCAGGTATACAGGAGGGTGGGGGGGAGGGTTTGGTTGGTTGTGCCTCAAAACTTATGGATTTTTTTTTCATTACCGTCTGACCCTCTCCACGCTGACGTCCGTTGTTGTCGCCTCCGTGTGCTTAGATCTGGCGAATAGTGCAACATCTTCTTCATTAGCAAACGCCTGGAAACAAATCCAATCAATGAGTTCACTAAAAACTAAACCCACAGCAATGCACTGCGACCCGAAGTTTTGTATTTACTAGTCCTCCATATTCTCATATACATAAATATAGTCTATATTCGACTGCATGCTGCTTATTTATCTTTCAACATTTAAGGTACGTGTAAAATAGTCCTAGTTGTTAGTATTCCACAGTTGGTGAATACTTATGAAGTACAGTCATTAGTATGAAATCGATAATATGTCAATGTTGGCAATAACTGAATTTTAGCTAAAAATATAACTTGTGATTTTCACAAAACTTTGTGTTTTACTTTCTTTATCAACGCTTAATATATATGAACCATATTCCAGCTATATGACTACGGTCTGTAAATAATCGGGCCTGGATCGGACAATCCGGTGATTGATATCATGAGAATCAATCCACGAAATTGGGTTTCGATGACATGCATCAACCAAGTCAGCGAACCTGACCACCCGATCCTGTTAGTAGCCTCTTACGACAAAGCATAGTCGCCTTTTACGGCAAGCATAGGTTGCTGGGGACCTCTAGTCTTATCCGGAATCCCCACGAGTGAATATATGAAAAAAATATTTCTTCGAGGAGAAACAAAGTGAGAATAAATCCTTATTTATTAAAACACAAATGGGATGCATGGAGCTGGCCAGTTGTTATTATAACCCCTTCAATTTTAAACATGACAATTCACGTGACCACAAAGCAGTGTAATATTGAAAAAACGCCTTCTTCAACGTGTGCATTATTTCATAACGTGGCATGTTGTGTTCTGGCTACGCATGTTGTGTGTCGGAGAGCTCTTCAGTGTTGTGCTACACTCCTGTGCTGGATCTGTAGCAAGTCGCTGTGTATTGCGAGTTGATAAGTTGCGTCCCTTAGCAGGATCCGCAGGCCGAGAGTTCAAAATTTCAAAATCCACGAGACCGGCAAGAATCCTTTAATTGATTGTCAGCACCATAGGCGGACCCTAAGGGGGCGTTCGGAACCCCTCCCTTATGAAAACCAAATGTAGTATATAGACAACACACTCACACTAAGAGCGGATTTTGTGTTCCAAGTGTATTATGTGTTTATTATATTATGATATGGACCTATCTGACAAACGTCAAGACTTGTGTTACTGCGAGCTCTCTGCTCTGCCGCGTCGTGATACAGGCCTCATAGACATGCACAAGTCTCTAAGGCAATCATTATTAGTTTAATCATAATTATGTAAATAATAAGAACACGTTGTCCCTATAAGGAGTGTACTGTCCACATATCTAGACTTGCCTATTAGGAGGGTAGAATTACTACACATCCATGGACTTTTCTTTCAATACAGCCTTGGAGCAAGGCTACATGCCTCACAACAATTACTGTAACTCGACCTTACACTCTCTTTGTTATTTGCGAACCAGTTTTACAAGTCATGCTCAGTTCAAGGACTAAACCTATTGCAGGCTATCGCGTTATCTGGCGCAATACTACAGACCTGTCGACACATAGTCCCACTTTTTAGGACACAAATGTCATCTTTATACAACCCAGACCTGTTTATCCGGACAGTAAGGTTTCCAGTCAAATCGTCATGATTTACAATTTCTGGATAAATGAACCATGAAAAGGGAATAACCCTGAACCCAGTTTAACGATGCACTATATATATGCTGCAAACCTGTTCCTGCTTGTGTTAAAACAACTTGAACGTTATATACCCATGACCTTCAGCGCTAGCGCAACACACAAGAAAATGCAGTATGGCGGCGATATGAGGAGCAAGCTGTATGACATACCTGTCTTCGCGTTCGATATAAAGCTGTTAATTCACCCATACATAGCGTCTTGGACAGTACCACCGTCGAGTAGAAGGCAAACTTGGAAAACACCGGATTATCTAGAGAGAACGGGCTCGCCATCTTGAACTTTATGTTGAGATAGGTCGAGTTGCTCGGTCCAAATTCCAGCAGGTCTGTTGTCTCTTTATAGGCGACTTATACCGTAAAACTGTTGAATTGCCACCCGGTTGTGAATATAGAGAATCTCACCCTCGTGTCTTTTGATATCAAATATATCAAAACGAGTTGATAAAAGTGCAAAAACTCCGAGACTTACCGAGGAGTTTTTCCACTTTTATCCACGAGTGTTGATATGTTGGATATAAAAAAAACACGAGGGTGAGATTTTATTTATCATCCAACATCATTCTTCCAACTTTTTCAGTTTTTAGACAGTAATACACAGTGTCTTAAGTGTAAAAAGTGCTGCAAACAGCTTCAGTAGCAGAGCCACTAGCGATGTCATTTGATTGTGACGTCATTGTTACCATGACGTCACAATGGTCTGCAAAGCATTGTGATGCAATTTCATTGTAGCGATATCTACACCCACGATGAGATTTAACAAGGGTTTCCAGTTGTGGGTTCATTCTCACCCTATCAATCCCTCATCCCAACCCCCATACAAAATAATGAAAAGGAAAGAACCATATTTTTGTTGGGTGGGAGGAATACATGTAAATACTTATGAACTAGGGGTCATAGTGGTTATACTCACTCACTCAATATCACGTTTCTACCTTTCTACTGGTATTTGCCGAGTGTCATACACGACGTGCATAATTTGTTTGATTGTTGTTTAATGCCGCACTCGGCAATATTCCAGCTATATGACGGAGGTATTTTTTGTTTTGTTTGTTTGTTGTTTAACACCGCACTCAATATTCAAGCTGACGGCGTCTGTAAATGATCGAGTCAGGACCAAGCAATCCAGTGACTGACATCGTGAGCATTGACATGCACCAACCAAGTCAGCGAGCGTGACCACGCGATCCCGTAAGTCGCCTCTTAATACAAGCATAGTCGCCTCTTAATACAAGCATAGTAAACTCTTAAGACAAGCATAGTCGCCTCTTAAAACAAGCATAGTCGCCTCTTAAGACAAGCATAGTCGCCTCTTAAGACAAGCATAGTCGCCTTTTGAGACAAGCATAGTCGCCTCTTAAGACAAGCATAGTCGGCCCTTAATACAAGCATAGTCGCCTCTTAAGACAAGCATAGTCGCCTCTTAAGACAAGCATAGTCGCCTCTTATGACAAGCATGGGCTGCTATAAAACCTATTCTATCCTGGATCTGCACGCGCATGACGTGCATGAAGAGGCGTTGACTAGGTTGTTTTTTTATCTATGACATCATGAGTTAGACTTTCGATCATGCAAGTTTAATGTTAGTTGTTTAACGCCACACTTGATAATATTCCAGCTATATGACAGCAGCCTCCAAGTGATCAGATACGGATATCATGAGCAACGACTCACACCGTCGGGGGTATGATGAAACGCAAAAAGATCTCTGAGTGTGCCTGCCCGATCCATGAGGTCACCTGTTACGATCAGCATAGATTGTTGAGGACCTATTCTGACCGGGAATCACGGAAGAAGAATTTCACGGTGTTAAACCGCTTCCCTAGGCGGTTGTGTTGAACAATAAAGCGATCTGACAGCTCTGTCGACCTCATTGCAACTCATTAAAGTAAATATAACAAAGATGTATAACGATAGATAGGTTCATAGCACTGAAACCACGTAGTGGACTTAACAAACAATAGCCACTGGTCAAGTTACAGGCATCTTCCCGAGGCAAAGGATTAACTGACTAGAAAAGTCCAGGATCTACCCACATTGTTTACGCATCAGGAAGTCGATTTCGTTACGTGATTTTGATTGGACAATGCATTCACTCGTATGTCCAGCCAAAATATAACTAAAAAATTCCAGCCTAGTTCGGCAAGGGTGGAAACTTTAAGAAAAATACAAAAGTACAATAAAACGCTGCAGGGAGAATAAACACTATGAACAGCCTCTTTAAGGATGATTAAAAAAATTAAAAGCTTTAAAAACATTTACCCGTATTTAAATAATTATGACTTCCGCAATAGAATCCGACCCCCGCAATGTCGGACAAGTCCATTCTGTGCCCAAGGGGCGCAACTCTTCACAGCAAATCGCGGCGCCATAGCCGACTGGGCCACCCGTGCCACTTAGCAGTGTGATAAGGGTCCACAGGGTCTGCATTATTGAAGAAACAGGATAAACTTTTTAATATGTTTTGAGTGTCATTACGGATAAATAAATGAGATCTTATCTTTTGTTTTGTTATTTCATCGCTGTTTGGGGACATACAACACCTAACGTATAGGTGATGCTAGAGCATATGTGAACAAAAGCTGATTTAGAAACTTTCGTGAGGGTTTTTTTTTAACATTCGAACATTACCAAATCTAACTGTGAATCGATATTCCCATAATCGGGTTGTTTCTCTAGGTCCAGGTGTGTCCGAATGCAAATCTGGATGTACCAGAATCGCTCGTTACACCGACAACATCATGAACATTATCATGATCACCATCAGCATCATTGACGATGACGCAACATTCGCTCCCAGCCATACATGAACGAGCTTATCCCCGGGCACCTGAAAGTGACAACAACCCAACCCCCTTCCCTAAATCAGTCTCCATCCTCCGTGCATTGTCATTTATTGTATCTACGATCGTCGCTGGTGTATTATGTCAAGGGCTGGTGTATAATGTCAAGGGCCAGTGACATGTGACTAATCTCGTGTACATGATAAGATTTCCTGCTCATTGTCTAACTCACAAGAACGAAGTACTTGACACACGTAACATTGAGCAACAAGTCGCATTTAATCGGAGTCACTTTTAATTTTGTTTGAAAACAACAACAGCTATTTTTCTTTCAGAAGAATACATGATTTCGGTGAAGCGAGACTGATGACGGACAGATTTGAATCGTTTTGTGAGATAATGATTATATAAACATAATTCTATTTCTCATCAAGTTCCGAAGCAAACGTACGTGTAGTAATCGTTGATAATTACTTTTTTCTTAGGACATCACGTGGCGAAGGTCGTGATGATCTCGTATTTCACGCTGAGCTGTCGTACTGTGAAAAAAGCTATACCTTGACTACAATTATTTAATGTTTTACCGATATCCTATCCAACGAAATAACTTGGGGAGGTCGATACAAAACAAACAAACAAAATTATGTTTACAAGTTAACAGTTTTGTACTGTAGCTATCGTGAAGTGGTTTTGAGTCCATCGGTTTAGTGATAAAGACAATGCAGAATTTACAGAAATGTTTCATGTTTACAGTGCCATGTACATATTTACTTCTGTGAGAGGTTCCCTTCTCTTTGTAAGGTGTTTGCAGTGCCCTGTGACTATATACAAAGTATTTTATAAAGTGTCATTTTAAAAGATAACATTACCCTTTTGTTTAATTTTGAAGTTCTGTATTAGTCTTTAAAAAAACTTTTTTATAATTTCTGTGTCTTTGTATTTTCCATATCTATCAGAAATGGAGTGGTCAGGAATATACATGAGGAACATATATATAAGGTCCAAGAGATTACAGATCTGCGACAGGGATCCAGGCGATTACAGATCTGTGACAGGGATCCAGGCGATTACAGATCTGTGACAGGGATCCAGGCGATTACATATCTGTGACAGGGATCCAGGCGATTACATATCTGTGACAGGGATCCAGGCGATTACAGATCTGCGACAGGGATCCAGGCAATTACAGATCTGCGACAGGGATCCAGGCAATTACAGATCTGTGACAGGGATCCAAGAGATTACAGATGTGTGACAGGGATCCAGGCGATTACATATCTGTGACATGGATCCAGGCAATTACAGATCTGTGACAGGGATCCAAGAGATTACAGATCTGTGACAGGGATCAAGGCGATTACAGATCTACATCTTATTTGACAGTATTCCCCTAGTAGGTCAATGTTCTTACACATCCCAGTTCTTACCCCTAGCTTATTTGACAGTATTCCTTTAGTAGTGGTAGCTCGATGTTCTTACCCCCAATACACCGAGTACATTCCAGTTCTCACCCCTAGTTCATTTGACAGTATTCCCACTAGTAGTAGTAGCTCGATGTTCTTACCCCTAACACACCGAGTCCATTCCAGTTTGTACCCCTAGTTTATTTGAAAGTATTCCTACTAGCAGCTCTTACCCCTAATACACCGAGTACATTCCAGTTCTTACCCCTAGTTTATTTGACAGTATTGCCACTAGTAGCTCGATGTTCTTACCCCCAATACACCAAGTACATTTCATTTTTTACCACTAGTTTATTTGACAGTATTCCCACTAGTACCTCGATGTTCTTATCCCTAACACACCAAGTACTTTTCAGTTTTTACCCCTACTTTATTTGACAGTATTCCCACTAGTAGCTCGATGTTCTTACCCCTATTACACCGAGTACATTCCAGTTCTTACCCCTAATTTATTTGACAGTAGTCCCCCTAATATCTTTTCAATCTTAATGAATTTTATATCCAGAAGAACACAAGAACACAATTATTGTAAGAAATATTTAATGGTATAGGTGCGTAGTAAAATATAAGTCACTGGATAAAGACATGTAAACTGGTAAAATGATCCCCATCACGAACAAGGATAAAATACAAATTAAAGCTTAACAACTTCAGCAGCACAACATAACAATTCAGGTTACCATGGTTGCTGGTAAATAACAGTGAAATTAAGCTTTAAGCAAATCATGACAGGAAAGAAAATCACACCAAAAATATTTACAAAAAAGTCATGGCTGTTGTTAAAAAAAACAAGGTTTTACTGGAAACTTCTGATGAATACTCTCCATTACATTCGACAGAACCAATGAAAGAGTTAGTACCGGTAAAACAAATCAAACTGTCACCAGTAGTGACAACATACATCATGGACATATAAGGAAATCAGGTCAAAAATGCTGTACATGAAAATATTCCTTATTCCCATGCATGCATACAACGTTGACTAGAAAACCTAAAACAATCATGTGATTCAAACACATAAATAAATATATAGATGTCTTGAAGTAATAAATCTAGCAAACCAAACAAAATACTCTGCAAAACAACAAACTCTCAAACGTTTTCATTTTCGAAACAGTGCTATCAGAACAGCAATCTCTGAACAGCATTATCTGAACAGCAATCTCTAATCAGTAATATATGAACAGCAATCTCTGAACCACATCATCTGAACAGCAATCTCTAATCAGTAATATATGAACAGCAATCTCTGAACCACATTATCTGAACAGCATTATCTGAACAGCAATCTCTGAACAGTATTATCTGGACAGCAATCTCTGAAGAGCATTATCTGTACAGTATTATCTGAACAGCACTATTTGAACAGTATTATCTGAACAGCATTATCTGAACAGCATTGTCTGAACAGCATTACCTGATCAGCATTGTCTGAACAGCATTATTACGGAAGACATAGATGTTAGGGAAACTTGGGTAAAGCTATCAATAAATACTGCAGGTAAATGAGCAGGAATGTCATTCAATCATTATTTACACTGTGAGTAATGCAAATGGAGTACAGACCATCTTGTGCTGATATTCACCTCTACAATGACTATACCAACACAATGCAATTCTCCATGACACAATAACATGGGACCTTGTTTATCTGGATCCTAGTAATCTGGGTGCTGTCTTCATTCACCTGACGATTCAAGGTGGGAAATTACTAAAAACTTGTTTTCTTTTTGTTCGTTTGTTTGTTGTTTAACGCCGCACTCAGCAATATTCCAGCTATATGACGGCGGTCTGGAAATAATCAAGTCTGGACCAGACAATCCAGTGATTGACATCATGAGCATTGATCGCAATTGGGATACACGGACATGCATCAACCAGGTCAGCGAGCCTGACCACCCGATCCCGTTAGTCGCCTCTTACGACAAACATAGTCGCCTTTTACGGCAAGCATGTGTTGGTGAAGACCTATTTTACCCCGGATCTCACAGGGCCATAAGATCTGTGAAATTAACAAGCTTCCTCAGGAGTAGTATTATAATTTACGCATACCGTTTTTTATGTTAATAACTCCATCAATGCAAAAATCTCCCAGTTTGCTATTTAATCATTAAAACACACAAAAAATGTAGACAACAGAACAAAATTAGGGACTGCGTTCAGCGCAATAATGAAACATCATTCAATTAGTTGGCATGGCCTAATTCCTTTTTGGCTTATGGAAACACAAACTAAACAAAACTTACTTGGTTAGCCAATCATATGCCACGGATTCACTTGCAATGTATATTCATTGTCCTGTGACATTCTGTGACATTCTGTGGTGGCTCTATGGCATGTCCTGATAATATACTTCACCACATACACGTAATATACAGCATCCCTCAAGACTCACCCAGACACCTGAGCCATGCATTCTCTGTGGTATGAAACTCCTGATGAGGCTCACAAGTGCACTTCTCATGAGATTTCAGTGATAGTTTCATATCCGACACCCACACAAAGTCACAAATCCTTTTCCATCTTTTTCTTGTGTCAAGTGTCTCCCACACCTGGTAGTGTTTGTTTAAACCCGTGTTCGTTATCAACGGTACCTACAGGGCTATCTCAGGACTTCTAGCTCAATGATGCTTCCACAACTACATGTACCTCAAACCTTCTTACCAAAGCAGTGTACAAAACCCAAAAATGCACGTTCTGATCTATATTGTCTTAAATGTCTACTAAGGCCACACTTTTTATATCCTGCTTAAATTCCTGGACAGTAGGTGGAAAATAAACTATAATTAAAAAATAACATTTCAAATTTTTTTGTAATAATTTTAAAACTTAATGGAATATGCTACCATATATGCAGTGTTAATCATATAGCCATGGTTACCTAATGTATTAATTACATTTAACATGACGACTGCGAATCATCTACATTTCTGACAATATTATTTGCAAATGTTGAGCTGGGTTTGATATTGATCGTAACACTTTGTGTGATGTAGAATGTACTATGACTGATACAGAGAATAACTGTAATATTACAATTATCATGAGTATATACTTATATAACATCATCAAAGAATGGATAGGTAATTACAGTATCGCAGGGGATTCCACGAGAATTCAAGAAGAATATACCAGGACCGATACAGAGAGTACCATATTCAACGTAATAAACGCCCAGGGTGCTCTCAAAAATTTGAAATAGGGGGCTCTTATTAGAATATTATTTTGGTGAAAAAAAAACTGAGTTGAAAGATAAATTTTGTGGTTTATGCTGACAGCCTGAAATGTTTACGTACGAGATATATTTTTCCAGAATTTAATTGCCCATAATTAAGGGTGCATATAACAAACAAGTGCGTATTATACGCGAATAAATAAGTCTTGTGTACATAATTCTTGTGGTGTTAATTGGGATTGTTCACTAGCCAATATATTAGCAAATATCGCCGTGGGCGCTTATTAGAGCAGGGCACTTATTACATCGAATATGGTAATTGTAATATTCCAATTATAATGAGTATATATTTATATAAGATCATCAAAGCATGGACTGTACAGTACCGTAGTGGACTCCATGAGTATTCTAGTGTTGGTGGAGTCCATACAATGTATTGTTATTATTAGATGATTATACAGCCTGCAAATGACTAGAGCATGCAAAAGTAATACTGAAAAAAATATTCCGTTTGTGAAAGGAAAAACTAGACGAACATCTAGTCTCTGTAATGAACTTACAGAAATTAACAGTTGTTAAATTGTCTTACCAAAATATAGTAAAAAGGAGCCCAGAGACTCTTCATTTTCAAATACTACAGTAATCTAGACTTGCCACTATTATAGACTTGCATGGTCTATTTTGTTTCAGGGGCTGTATGACACAGAGCCCCAGATAAATATTTGAGCAATTGAGTTTTTACTCAAAGGTTTCTCTTCTAACTGGGTTATTACATTTTTCATTGGGTAACCAATATTTTTTCACTCATCTATTCATCACTCTATTGGGTTTTTCTCAAAATGAGTAAGTATTTTGAGATTACAAAAAAAATGAAATAATGTTTTAGATGTATATAACTTTTCTAAATATAGGCTTGACTCGGAAAGTAAATTAGCTTGTAATTTTGTTTCGGAAATTAGTTCCGTTGTACGCATGGTGAAAAAGATTCATTGGGTATGTACACGAGCTGTTTTCAAACAATTGAGTTTTCCATTTAATGCATGCGTTTCTGTACACAAGTTAATTGAAAGTAATTGGGTTTTGAATAGTTTCGGGGGGTATATTACGCAAATACACAGCTTATCTGTAGCTCTGATAACAGACTAAGGAAAAACATAAAATGGTTGACATGAAACAATGTGACAATTGACACCTACTTTTAACACGCAGCACGTAGATTCCTAATTTCAACATCTTCCTTATTCATGTGACTCATTCATTTTATTCTTTCATTGTTATCACCTGTCTCATAACCCATACACCCATACTTCATAAATTAAAATTAAAACTATCACAATTATCAATATCATAAAATTTGTCCTCTTATCAAAATATCTGCCTAAGTATGAATAGTACTTATGAAATAAGCTGCCAATCATCCTAAGCCCCGCCCTTCCTGAGATAGCCCCGGCCCGTCAAATGTGACAATGTTCGGGCTGTACTGTAGTGTTGATGGCTGCACACTCCTCTTCACGCTCGTGATCTTTTATTGACATCATCTGCAGTTGGTTCAGTTTTCTGTATCGTTCTACCATATGTTGTTGAACATAGCCAAACACCCAGTAGCCCACACCAGACCCTGTGGATAACACAAATAATGTCATCTAAACATAGAAGAACACCAAGTAGCCCACACCCTTGGGATAACACAAATATAGTCATCTTTAACATGGCCGAACACCCAGTAGCCTACACCAGACCCAGTGGATAACACAAATAATGTCATCTAAACATAGAAGAACACCAAGTAGCCCTCACGCTCGTGATCTTTTATTGACATCATCTGCAGTTGGTTCAGTTTTCTGTATCGTTCTACCATATGTTGTTGAACATAGCCGAACACCCAGTAGCCCACAACAGACCCTGTGGATAACACAAATAATGTCATCTAAACATAGAAGAACACCAAGTAGCCCACACCCTTGGGATAACACAAATATAGTCATCTTTAACATGGCCGAACACCCAGTAGCCTACACCAGACCCAGTGGATAACACAAATAATGTCATCTAAACATAGAAGAACACCAAGTAGCCCACACCCTTGGGATAACACAAATATAGTCATCTTTAACATAGCTGAACACCAAGTAGCCCACACCAGACCCTGTGGATAACACAAATACTGTCATCTTTAACATAGCCGAACACCCAGTAGCCCACACCAGACCCTGTGGATAACACAAATATAGTCATCTAAACATAGACGAACACCAAGTAGCCCACACCAGACCCTGTGGATAACACAAATATTGTCATCTTTAACATAGCCGAACACCCAAAAACCCACACCAGACCCTGTGGATAACACAAATATTGTCATCTTTAAACATAGACGAACACCCAGTAGCCCACACCAGACTGTGTGGATAACACAAATATTGTCATCTTTAACATAGACGAACACCCAGTAGCCCACACCAGACTGTGTGGATAACACAAATATTGTCATCTTTACCATAGATGGCGATCCCGACCCACACACTGTACTACTGGTAGACTCACCGAGTGTGATGGCAATCCCGACCCACACACTGTACTACTGGTAGACCCACACACTGTACTACTGGTAGACTCACCGAGCGTGATGGCGATCCCGACCCACACACTGTACTACTGGTAGACTCACTGATGTGATGGCGATCCCGACCCACACACTGTACTACTGGTAGACCCACATACTGTACTACTGGTAGACTCACCGAGTGTGATGGCGATCCCGACCCACACACTGTACTACTGGTAGACTCACCGAGCGTGATGGCGATCCCGACCCACACACTGTACTACTGGTAGACTCACCGAGCATGATGGCGATCCCGACCCGCACACTGTACTACTGGTAGACTCACCGAGCGTGATGGCAATCCCGACCCACACACTGTACTACTTGTAGACTCACCGAGCGTGATGGCGATCCCGACCCGCACACTGTACTACTGGTAGACTCACCGAGCGTGATGGCAATCCCGACCCACACACTGTACTACTGGTAGACACACCGAGCGTGATGGCGATCCCGACCCACACACTGTACTACTGGTAGACTCACCGAGCGTGATGGCGATCCCGACCCACACACTGTACTACTGGTAGACTCACCGAGCATGATGGTGATCCCGACCCACACACTGTACTACTGGTAGACTCACCGAGCGTGATGGCGATCCCGACCCACACACTGTACTACTGGTAGACTCACCGGGAGTGATGGCAATCCCGACCCTCACACTGTACTACTGGTAGACCCACACACTGTACTACTGGTAGACTCACCGAGCGTGATGGCAATCCCGACCCACACACTGTACTACTGGTAGACTCACCGAGCGTGATGGCAATCCCGACCCACACACTGTACTACTGGTAGACTCACCGAGCGTGATGGCAATCCCGACCCACACACTGTACTACTGGTAGACTCACCGAGCGTGATGGCAATCCCGACCCACACACTGTACTACTGGTAGACTCACCGAGCGTGATGGCAATCCCGACCCACACACTGTACTACTGGTAGACTCACCAAGCGTGATGGCGATCCCGACCCACACACTGTACTACTGGTAGACTCACCGAGCGTGATGGCGATCCTGACCCACACACTGTACTACTGGTAGACTCACCGAGCATGATGGCAATCCCGAGCCACACACTGTACTACTGGTAGACTCACGGAACGTGATGGCGATCCCGTCCCACACACTGTACTACTGGTAGACTCACCGAGCGTGATGGCGATCCCGACCCACACACTGTACTACTGGTAGACTCACCGAGCGTGATGGCAATCCCGAGCCACACACTGTACTACTGGTAGACTCACCGAGCGTGATGGCAATCCCGACCCACACACTGTACTACTGGTAGACTCACCGAGCGTGATGGCAATCCCGACCCACACACTGTACTACTGGTAGACTCACCGAGCGTGATGGTGATCCCGACCCACACACTGTACTACTGGTAGACTCACCGAGCGTGATGGCAATCCCGACCCACACACTGTACTACTGGTAGACTCACCGAGCGTGATGGCAATCCCGACCCACACACTGTACTACTGGTAGACTCACCGAGCGTGATGGCGATCCCGACCCACACACTGTACTACTGGTAGACTCACCGAGCGTGATGGCAATCCCGACCCACACACTGTACTACTGGTAGACTCACCGAGCGTGATGGCAATCCCGACCCACACACTGTACTACTGGTAGACTCACCGAGCGTGATGGCAATCCCGACCCACACACTGTACTACTGGTAGACTCACCGAGCGTGATGGCGATCCCGACCCACACACTGTACTACTGGTAGACTCACACACTGTACTACTGGTAGACTCACCGAGCGTGATGGCAATCCCGACCCACACACTGTACTACTGGTAGACCCACCGAGTGTGATGGCAATCCCGAGCCACACACTGTACTACTGGTAGACCCACACACTGTACTACTGGTAGACTCACCGAGCGTGATGGCGATCCCGACCCACACACTGTACTACTGGTAGACTCACCGAGCGTGATGGCGATCCCGACCCACACACTGTACTACTGGTAGACTCACCGAGCGTGATGGCAATCCCGACCCACACACTGTACTACTGGTAGACCCACACACTGTACTACTGGTAGACTCACCGAGCGTGATGGCGATCCCGACCCACACACTGTACTACTGGTAGACCCACACACTGTACTACTGGTAGACTCACCGAGCGTGATGGCAATCCCGACCCACACACTGTACTACTGGTAGACCCACCGAGTGTGATGGCAATCCCGAGCCACACACTGTACTACTGGTAGACCCACACACTGTACTACTGGTAGACTCACCGAGCGTGATGGCGATCCCGACCCACACACTGTACTACTGGTAGACTCACCGAGCGTGATGGCGATCCCGACCCACACACTGTACTACTGGTAGACTCACCGAGCGTGATGGCAATCCCGACCCACACACTGTACTACTGGTAGACCCACACACTGTACTACTGGTAGACTCACCGAGCGTGATGGCGATCCCGACCCACACACTGTACTACTGGTAGACCCACACACTGTACTACTGGTAGACTCACCGAGCGTGATGGCAATCCCGACCCACACACTGTACTACTGGTAGACCCACACACTGTACTACTGGTAGACTCACCGAGCGTGATGGCGATCCCGACCCACACACTGTACTACTGGTAGACCCACACACTGTACTACTGGTAGACTCACCGAGCGTGATGGTGATCCCGACCCACACACTGTACTAGTGGTAGACCCACACACTGTACTACTGGTAGACTCACCGAGCGTGATGGCGATCCCGACCCACACACTGTACTACTGGTAGACTCACCGAGCGTGATGGCGATCCCGACCCACACACTGTACTACTGGTAGACTCACCGAGCGTGATGGCAATCCCGACCCACACACTGTACTACTGGTAGACTCACCGAGCGTGATGGCAATCCCGACCCACACACTGTACTACTTGTAGACTCACCGAGCGTGATGGCGATCCCGACCCACACACTGTACTACTTGTAGACTCACCGAGCGTGATGGCGATCCCGACCCACACACTGTACTACTTGTAGACTCACCGAGCGTGATGGCGATCCCGACCCACACACTGTACTACTGGTAGACTCACCGAGCGTGATGGCAATCCCGACCCACACACTGTACTACTGGTAGACTCACCGAGCGTGATGGCAATCCCGACCCACACACTGTACTACTGGTAGACTCACCGAGCGTAATGGCGATCCCGACCCACACACTGTACTACTGGTAGACTCACCGAGCGTGATGGCGATCCCGACCCACACACTGTACTACTGGTAGACTCACCGAGCGTGATGGCAATCCCGAGCCACACACTGTACTACTGGTAGACTCACCGAGCGTGATGGCGATCCCGACCCACACACTGTACTACTGGTAGACTCACCGAGCGTGATGGCGATCCCGACCCACACACTGTACTACTGGTAGACTCACCGAGCGTGATGGCAATCCCGACCCACACACTGTACTACTGGTAGACTCACCGAGCGTGATGGCGATCCCGACCCACACACTGTACTACTGGTAGACTCACCGAGCGTGATGGCAATCCCGACCCACACACTGTACTACTGGTAGACTCACCGAGCGTGATGGCGATCCCGACCCACACACTGTACTACTGGTAGACTCACCGAGCGTGATGGCAATCCCGACCCACACACTGTACTACTGGTAGACTCACCGAGCGTGATGGCGATCCCGACCCACACACTGTACTACTGGTAGACTCACCGAGCGTGATGGCGATCCCGACCCACACACTGTACTACTGGTAGACTCACCGAGCGTGATGGCAATCCCGACCCACACACTGTACTACTGGTAGACTCACCGAGCGTGATGGCGATCCCGACCCACACACTGTACTACTGGTAGACTCACCGAGCGTGATGGCAATCCCGACCCACACACTGTACTACTGGTAGACTCACCGAGCGTGATGGCGATCCCGACCCACACACTGTACAACTGGTAGACCCACACACTGTACTACTGGTAGACTCACCGAGCGTGATGGCGATCCCGACCCACACACTGTACGACATGAAGGCCAGCATAATGAGGTAGGCGATGATCATGTTGAACATGTGGGACATGCAGCCCAGAAAATGGTACTTCATTCTGAAATATAATCATCATCATCATCAAAAGTATATACATCATGACTCTTATTTCCTCAAATTCTTGCGTGATATTGCTGGAATATTGCTAAAAGCAGCGTAAAACCATACTCACTCACTCACTCCTCAAATTCTTAATCTGAAATCAGTTCTGACCATCAAACCACCAATCACGAGAGTGAGTGAGTGAAATGAGGTTAATGCTGCTTTGAACAGTATTTCAGTTACATCATAGCATGTCATCTCAATGTGGGAAGAAAGCCAAAGTGATGCAGGTCTTAGACTTTTACCACTTTAATGAAACCCATTGACAAAACCAGAAACACAATTGGAGCAAACCATGATTTGAACCCATGATCATAGATTTCTTAGGTACCTAAGGGACATAACTCTGCACAACACATTGCAGCACCAGAGCTACCATACCCCTACCCATAACTAGAAGGTATAGATTTAGACGATGTAACCATGGTAAGATCTGATGTAGCATAGTGTGTGAGATTGTTTTACACTGTAGGCAACAGGCTTGTGTTAACTTCTAACTCTGGAATAAGAGTTTTATAGAAGAGTCACCTTCTCCTCCTGATCTGGCCCATGTCAGCAGGGAACATCAGTGAGGATAACAAGCCCTCCTTGTCTTCAGCCGAGCTGTCCGTCTGACTGTATGTCAGCGGATCCTGCTTCACTTTCAGCTCGAAGAAAATCTTCACCAGCTTGACTCCCTCGAAAAGTGCCATGATGAGGAACGTCAGTAGACACAGCACCACGAAGCCTGGAGACCAACACAGTGTGAGGTTAGCATTGCTCTCTACATCATCTACATTGTACAGTATCTACCACATCTATCTTTTACACAATATCTACGTCTATCTTTTACACAATAGCTACGTCTACCTTTAACACAATATCTACATCTACCTTTTACACAATAGCTACGTCTATCTTCTACACAATAAATACGTCTATCTTTTACACAATGTCTACTTCTATCTTTTACACAATAGCTACGTCTATCTTTTACACAATGTCTACTTCTATCTTTTACACAATATCTACGTCTATCTTTTACACAATATCTACCACGTCTTCCTTTTACACACAATATCTACTTCTACCTTTTACACAATATCTACGTCTATCTTCTACACAATATCTACGTTTACCTTTTACACAATATCTACGTCTATCTTTTACACAGTATCTGCGTCTATCTTTTACACAATAGCTACGTCTACCTTTTACACAATATCTATCTTTTACACAGTATCTATGTCTATCGTTTACACAATATCTACATCCACATTGTACACAATATCTACGTCTATCTTTTACACAATATCTACCACGTCTACCTTTTACACAATATCTACATTGTCTAGCATGTACACAATGTCTACCATATCTCCCTTGTTTATTTGTTTATGTTTACGTTTTCAACCACGTCTACCAAAATTGTATATGTCTACCATGTCTATAACATCTATCACCTTGACGTAGGACTTGAATCCATCTAAACCCGACCGATGCCTGAGTACTTTAGTACACAGATAGCTGCGTATTTGCGTAAAATGTCCCCCCAAAATATTCAAAACCAAATTACTTTCAATAAACTTGCGTACAGAAACACATGTCATAAATGACAAACATGTATAAAAACAGCATGCGTAAATACACAATGAAGCTTTTTCAGCATGCATACAACGGAGCTAATTTCAGAAACCCAATTACGAACTAATTTACTTTTCGAGTCAAGCCTATATTTAGAACCGTTGTATACATCTAAAACATTTTTTCATTTTTTTTTAAATCTCAAAATGTTTATTAATTTTGGGGAAAAACCAAAAGAGTGATGAATAGACGAGTGAAAAAATATTGATTACCCAATGAAAAATGTAATAACCCAATTGAAATAGAAACTGTCGAGTAAAAACTCAATTGCTCAAAAGGTTATCTGGAGCTCTGAGTACCCATCAGAGCCCAACAGATTACACAGCTAAATATTTCAGCTATATGATGGTGGTCAGCACTAACAGAGTTCCATTTTAGATTTCATATTAGTCGTCACTGTGACAAGGGCCATTCAGATCTGCACAAATGGGTAGAAATTCAACTGGACATAGATTTCCTTCGAGATGCCAGGATGTGCTTGTGCAGTAGTCTCACTTGGAGAGGCTTCCTTGACCAGGGTTGGCACAAGACGGAACTTTCCCACAAATTGATTATTGCTGTGCTGACTTGTAAAAACACTCAATTAGAAATAACTAAATGATCGATCAACTTTCCATGCCAAGCTTACTTACATGTAAAAACACTCAATTAGAAATAACTAAATGATCAATCAACTTTCCATGCCAAGCTTACTTACATGTAAAAACACTAATTAGAAATAACTACATGATCAATCAACTTTCGACGCCAAGCTTAACGAGCTTATTTACATGTAAAAACACTCAGTTACGACAGTTTGGCTACACTGTTCACACCTAGCAGGCATGGTGAGTGGCAAGTGATGCAAGTCATAAGCTCCACTCCTTGACCATACCCATCACTGACACTGAATCATATCATTCGTTTATAACGAACACACTTATAATGAACTGACCGATATAACAAACTTATTTTTTAATCCCGGCTATTCGTTGTATATATGCTATATATGCTTATAACGAACTACGGTTATTACAAACTAAAATTGGAGGTCAATTGAGTTTGTTCAACCATAGTTTCCTGTATGTGTTTCAAAAACTTAGTAGAGACAACACACACAGCTTTCACTAATGATCCAAGGTCAGTCAGCACAGTATCAAAGTTTACTTAAATTGGATTAAGGACATTAATAGAACAAACAAATATAAATTATAACACTATTTATCATGTTTATGCTTTATAGAAATATACATTTTCATGTGTCCATTTTAACTTTTTAGTTTGGCCATTTTGACTTTTTAGTGTGGCCATTTTGACTAGGGTTTGTGACCTTTTTAATTTTTTGTTGTGGCTGTTTTCAATAGGGTGAATGTGGCCCTTTTGACCTGTTCCCTATAAACATGGGAAATGTTTAATTCATATTTGAAACTTTTTACTGACATTTCTTGCAGGCCTATGGCTCTTCAGCCAGTCCAGACACAAGCTAGATAACATAAATAGATAGTCTGATATCAAGTAATAACAACATAAAAAAAATCTTATGTTGTCAACACTTATAACAAATGCTTCATACTTGAGCCATGCAAATGAAATAAAAGTAAATCAACATGGCAACTAGGTAATAATTAAGTCATAATATTATTCTAAAAATACTCACCTTTGGCTCCTGATATGTTAAGATTCTTGAACAAGAAATTTTTCAGCTCCGTGGTCGTGAAGAAGTATGTCTGTGTATTGTAATGTAAAGACACAGAAACTCAGACACAGACAGATTGCATGATGATGAACATACTGGATATCTATTAGTCAGTGGTTAAAAATTTTACAAGCAAAATTCGGCTATATTAATTAGTTCTAAATATAGACACAGGATCGGGTCAGTTGACAGTCCTATCACGCAATTCAAAACCATTTTATTTGTTGACTATCAAAGTAACATTTTTAAGGTGCACTCATCAATCAAACGAATTATTACTCTAATAACCACCTGATATGTCATATCTCCGACACTGACGTAGACATAGACCGGAAACACAATGGACTACATAAAATGGGTATCAATATAGTCCTTTAGTATATCACGTATCGATACTGGATTATATTAGTATCGTTATATTTTAATTAATAACACCACATGTACTTACGGGCATATCCATAATGGTCTTGATATAATCCGGCTTAGCTTCAAATGGATCTAAATAAAATGGCACATGTCAGGCCATTAGGACGAAAAGAGACGAGATAAACAATATATCTTAACCGCGACAGTCTAACGGGAAATGTTTAGATAAAATGTCAGCCATTTTCAGATCATGTGACTGATTGACTGATCAGGTGCCCGACCTTAAGGTTGTATGTAAACATGCACGTGATTGGTCGAATTCGTAATAGACATACGATTTGATTGGATGCATGCAGAACGGTTCGAAATTCGAACACAAACACCAAGTCCAACACACATGGGTATGTGTGTGTTAGGATTTTAGAGGAGAGATGGAACAAACGGTAAGAAGATAAGATTTGATATCCGCCATCATGGATAAGAATCCCGTTAGTAGTGTTACTGTCGATTCGGCGTGGCAATCGCTGAACAATGTATGTGATGACTTGGAGCAGACAGCCACGCCAAGCAGGCGACGGAGTAGAAAATCATGGTTTGAAACCCCACCTGCAACTAAATTAGAGATCGCCTGTGAAAAGAAGAAAAGACGTTCCTCGGGAGGTGGCAAAAGAAAAAGCATGGAAAATATGGAAACCCTTCTGTTGACACACTTTACGAATCCTCCCAAAATTACATTCGGTAAAATCAAACTTGGAAAATCAAGACATCGACACCTCCTTGTGAAAAATGTCCACGACTATGAGCAAAGTGTTGTTATTGAGAAATTTCCACACAAAAAGAAATTTGAAGTTGACTCGAAATCGTTTACAGTTCCAGCTCTAGATAGCGTTGTTATAACATTTTCCTGGACCCCTGAAGAAGATGGCAATGTTCGTGAAATGATTTTGTTCAGGGTGGATTCTGCCTACCGGCTTCAGGCTTTTCTCCTCGGCTGTGCTGATTCCCCGAAACCTGCTAAAAAGGGGGTATGTATATTTTGTATACCAAATCACCATTACCACAAAATTTCTACTGCTGAGACAATTTTTCAAATCCCGCAAATATGATAACGCCCACGTACCTGGATAAATACCCTGATCAATATAGGTCTATATTCTTCATCATGTTCATTAATTATGATTATGTAGACCCTATCAATATAATATTCTATTTCTTTGATAGTCCAGCAGTTGTTTTAAGTTGCAGTTAGTGCTATGTCTTGCTTGTTTTTGTCCAAGTGTGAGTCAGTAGACTGAAGCCATTATGTATTTAGGGCGGTCAGGTAGCCTAGTGGTTAAAGCGTTCGCTCGATCGTCACGCCGAAGACCCGGGTTCAATTCCAATATGGGTACAGTGTGTCAAGCCCATTTCTGGTGTTCCCCGCCGTGATATTGCTGGAATATTGCTAAAAAGCGGCGTAAAACCATACTCACTCACTCACCATTATGTAATTCATTGCATTCCCAGCTACAGAAATTAGTAGCTGTACACAAATATGTTTGGTTCTTGCCCCATGTAACCTGGTTTTTGTTTGTTTGTTGTTTAACAACACTCAACAATATTCCAGCTATATGACAGCAGCCTGTAAATAATAGTGTCTGGACCAGAATACGCAGTGATTGACATCAACATTGATCTATGCAATGATTATTGGGATGCTTGAAACAAGTCAGTTAGTCACCTCTTATGACAAGCATGACCTCTTATGACAAGCATGGGTTGCTGAAGACCAATTCTAGCCTGGAATCTTCATTGGGTTCATGTAACCTGGTAACTTACAAGGATGAAAAGGATACATGGGTCAATAAAAAATATTTTATTTATGCAAATGCTTCAGGCTCGTAGGATAAATGTGTCAATAATTTTATATTTTTTTTGTACAGCTGCGAATTTGTGTGTACATTGTATAGAGGGATTCATCTAGATTTTAGGTGATCACACTCTGACAGGATTGTGGGGCTGAGTTGATCTACTCTAGTTAATTGTTATTCCCTGTTATATGCATGAGATATACTTTGAGGAGCTAAAAACAAAAATGGTGGCTTTTGTAAATGAACAGAATGAATGACACTGAAAGTTAATCATGGTAGCCATAAAAGTACACCAACTTGGCAAGGCGGTAACAGAATCTTCTACCATTTCAGCAGAAGAAAGGATTGCTTGGTGCCAAAGTAAAACGCCCCTTCTCCATCCTCCACACTCCAGGGCTCGCCTGTATCCGTGACAACTACAGCCCACAGGAAGCTGAGAAAGAGCCATTCATTCCTGGGAAGTTTCGTGTCCTTCAAGAAAACACCCACGTTCAAAACCAGAATGACGAGAACAGAAGGCAGCACCAAGCCTTCCCTCCACCACGTCTGGAGTCAACAGCCATCACTAAAGATGCCAACTCGTCCATCTGCCGATCAAGTGTATATAACAAGATGGCTGACTTAGGATGCTCCCCGACACTTCCCGTCTCTGATTTCAGCCCCATTCCTACTGCCGAGAGTGAAAATATTCATCTTGTGGATTCCTGTTGTTCTATCATGCAGACCTCCCCTCTGAGAGAAGTGGTTATCAACCGACCCAATGAAGCAAAAACAAAAGATATGGCGAAGCTTGAACCAAGAGGCCCTGATGTGAAGTTCTCTGTCTTAGATAGGAAAGAAATAATAGACGTTGAGGTCCGAGAAACTGTGAAAGACCCACAGAAGACAGCAACACCATCACGAACAAATGATCTACGATCTACAGAGCAGGTTGAGTCGCAGAAGGAGTATTTGTCGCCTGACAGTTTTTTGAATGACTCACTGGTATTCCGGCAACCATTGGACAGGAAAGAGACTAAGGATACAGAGGGAAGAAGTGTTATTCGCAAGCCTCGTAAATCATGGACTCCACAGAAGATGAGTCCGCTAAGGATTTCCGATCCTGATAAATCGGAGAAAAGGTACTTGTCACCTGACAGTTTCCTGAATGATTCCCTTGCGTCAAGAATCTCTGGAATTGGTGCTACTCCTGGGAAGCCATATTTCGACACAACTCCAGATTTCAGCCATGACGACTTTGAAAAAAGTATCATCAGTCCAAACTCGTTTCTTGAAGAGCTTAGCTCGACTAGAAATGATTCGCTTGATGATCGTCGATTCTCTCGCATTCCCAGTCCTGGATCGGTCTTGAATGGCTCTGTCCCTCATGACATTATCGTGAAGCAGTTGAAGTCTGTGAGGACAAGCCTTTATGAGAAGAAGCTTGAGCGAGAAAGCATGAAGACACAAAATGTCAAGTTTACTGTGGCTAGTAAAACAACAAGACAGACCTCCACAAACTGTACAAAGAAGACAGGAGTGTTTGCACCAACTCTGTCATCTTCTAGACGAGCAACGTTTGTTTCAAAGAAAGCAGATAAAGAAATGTTCTCCGGCGCTCCCAATGCACCAAGCCCCCGACGAGCAACCTTCTTGGTGTCAAAGAAGAAACAGGTCTCAAAGAAAGTGTCTCCCCAAAAACAAGAACCTCCGAAAGGACAAAAGAAGATGACAAGGTCTCAGAGGTTCACCAATATCCACAAGGCTGGTCAACTGGAGCAGAAGACGATGTCCAAGTCTCATAGTAAGGTAAGGCGGAGGAGCAGCGGTAATGGAGAGTCTCTTGTGAAGAAAACAAGGAAGTCTAGAACAGAAGTATTCCTGACCAGTGTTGAAGCTTCTGATGCTGAGATGAAGGAGAACCAAAGTGACGATGATGTGGTGTTTGAAGCGTCTGTTGGCAATCAGAACTCCTCTGCCACCATTACCAAAGACAGACCATTCATGATGACCAGTGACATGGAACGGTCTTCTGGGAGGCAGTTGTTCGCAGAGGAGGATGTCAAGGACTCATCTGCCACTGTCACTAAAGAAAGACCTTTCATGGAAGTCACTGAAGAACGGAGAGTTTCGGGGAAATGTTTGTTTGCTGTTGATGGGAATGAGTTTGAACAAAACTCATCAGCAACTGTCACAAAAGAAAAGCCTTCAGTGCAATTGTCAGATGCAAGGCGAGGATCTGGCAAACAACTGTTTGCTGATGAAACAACGAAAATTGTTGAGCTTGAACAAATCTCATCAGCGACTGTAACAAAAGAAAGACCTTCAGTAGAAATGTCAGATGTTAGGAGAGGATCTGGCAAACAACTGTTTGCTGATGAAAAAACGAAAATTGTTGAGCTTGAACAAATCTCATCAGCAACTGTAACAAAAGAAAGACCTTCAGTAGAAATGTCAGATGTTAGGAGGGGATCTGGGAAACAATTGTTTGCTGATGAAGAAGCCAAGGATGTACGAGGAATGTCTTCCGTAAATGATGCAGAAAAGGCCCATTCAGAATTAACCATGACAGCTGATTTGGTGAAGGAACAGCAGATATTGTCCAGTTTGGAAAAAGTAGAATTTGGCTCTCCATCCAAGATGTTTAACAATGTATTTGTAGGGGAGTCTTGTGTTGGTCGGATGTCAATGACTGTCACAAAGGAGCGTCCGTCTCTCTCTGTTATCCCCAAGTCGGTATCGGGGGAAGGCTTGTCTACGACATCCAAAGTCAATGAAACACCAAAGTCCTTTACTCAAGCAAGTATTAGTGGCATATTTTCTAAAGATCCATCTCTGAATGGAAACAACCGGAGATTCTCTGGCAAGAAGCTGTTTGGAGCAGACCCCATGTCACCCAGCAAAAGCCCAATCCTGTCCTCCATCTTCAGGGATATCGGTTCCCCGAGTAGAATCCCATCCAGTCCCGATGTGGAGGTGACCAGGAGGATAACACTGACCGTCACCAAGTCCCGGCCCTCGGATGCCCTCATAGAGGCTACCAAAGCAACTGTTAAAGACACGGGAAAGACAGACGAAGCAGACGGTCAGTTTGTTGTTGCTGCGAAGGAAGAGACCTTTGTGAATGTTTCTGAGTCCAAAGAAGGCTACTGCAAGAGGAAGAAGATAATGGGTACGGCTGTTGAAAGTGAGAACGCCAACTACAGTTTCAAGAAGGTTGACACTTACGAGAAAATTATTAATGTGTCAGAAATGCAGGCGATGCAGGAGCAGACACGCTCATGGGAAGTCACTAGCAGCCCTCAAGGAAGAGCTCGCTCAAACTCTTACACCATCACATCCCCCATGTTCTCTGTCACACCAACTGCTATTCCAAGTAGTCCTTCCTCAGAGAACTCGCGCAGGTCAACCCAAGTCATCTTGAAGCCTAAAGTCCTTGACGTGTCTGCCAACCCTCGTCGTCTGTTTCCCCCGTTGGATAATGAGGAACAGGACAGTCTAGTGGTCGGTGAGTTGGAGGAACAGCGAGGAGCAAGTGTCTCCTCCATCACATCTGCTAGCAGTGTCTACTCTGCGGACTCGTTGGAGGCAAGGAAAAGTGTGTCTGAAATGTCTGATTCAAGTCAGTCCAAATCTGTTGACCTGTTTGAAAACTCATCTGACCGATCAAAGAAAGTTACTGATGAACCGATTGTGGAGGCTGGGAAACTCACATCGGAAATGTCTGATACAAGTCGGTCTAAATCTATTGACCTATTTGATAAATTGCCTGACCATGAATCAAAGAAAGAAAACGAACCGATTCAAATCACGCATGAATTCACATCTGATGATGGCAGCCTGTCTACGTCAGTTGATGTTTTTGAAAAAACACCTGACCACGAAGCAAAGGAAACATTTGAAGAACCAGTTTGTCAGGAAGAGCTGAGCATGAATGAATCTGTATTTGAAAGGAATGAAAATGCTGAAAATATTCCCCCGATCACTCACGCTCAACAAAAGGTTGTGGAAACTGGACTGGAGCCTCGCAACCCAGAGATTAAGGAAACTATGAACTTACTGAAGGCAAGCAAGAAATCAACACCCGATGAACAGCCAAAGGAAGAGAAGAAGAGGAGGAAGGTGAGGGCATCAAAGGTTTCACCGACACCTGTCAAGTCTGATATATCACCGAGCAAGTCGGTCAAAGACGGAAAGGAGAATAGGAGAATGATGTTCATCGCCATGGATACAGCTGACAAAGACAAGTGTGTGAAGGCTGAGGTGAAGCGTCAAGAAAAGAAACCCCTCCTGTCCCGGGGACTGAATCTGATGTCGAAGAAGCGGACCCTGACAGTGACAGATGACAAGGAGAATGGTGAGAAGCAGAACTCCAAGAAGAGGTCAAAGTCTGACCCAACAGAGAACACTCAGCCCAAGAGACCAGGTGAGCTATCATTTTGTGAGCTACAGTTCCCGTATACCCTCATTCGTTATTACACTGAGACTCACTTATTTAGTTATTATCAGCTACTCCAGGTAACTATTTGACAATGTTTGTGGGATCCTGTTGCCTATTTTGAACAAAATAATTTTTTGAAATATTTGTTTCAAGTTTGCTTGCCAAGAACACTTATTTCGGAATCATAGATAAATCCCTGCTACCCATAATAGGCTATCTAATATTATTTCACCAAATTCAATTTTAATGAAATGACTTTTAATATGCAATAAGCATGATAAGAACTCAATATATATAAAAAGTTTACCATTTTCATAGGTGCCACCTTATCTTCCTAAAACTGCTCCCAATTCTAACTATATTTCCACACACCCCCACTCCACCAATTTTTTTAAGAAGAATCATTACAACTGCATATAATATGTATCTTCTTTCATAAACATGTGAGAAATGAAGCTGATGACTGACATATTGCAGGATTCCTGTCTCGGTTAACAGCGACGACCAAGAAAAGTAAGCCTCCTGTTAAAGGCTTGGCACAGTCCAAGCTGATTCTTGTCAAGAAAGGAAAACAAGGTGAGTGATTTATTCTCAATCTGCTTCACAAAAGAAACATGGCGATTTAGAAAATGAATAATTATCAATATCAGTGAAAATAAAGGGGCAACTGCTTAAATATCTAATGCGTCACGATATGGCTGAAATATTGCCGATGTGACATTAAACATGTTAAAGTTTAACTCACTCACTATCTTATGGTGAAATGAATTCATCCATTTTAAGGACGGAACCCTATCTCATGCATCTAAAATCACAAGTCATTTCTGAATTGCCGCAGTTGAAACTCTCATGGTTGATTGACTTCCATTTTAACTATAGTGACCAGTTAGTGTGATTGAAGGTGACAGTATATTATGACAAGACAAACGTTTCAAATAACCGTTTTCATTGATTAAAATTATTCTTCCTTGCACATTTCCATTTCTGTTGCTGACATTGTAAAGAACATGTCCTCCTGTGTTGTAGGCATGCCAAGGCATCCTCTTCCATATGCAGCCAAGAACATGTACTATGACGAGCGGTGGATGGAGAAGCAGGACCGGGGCTTCGTACACTGGCTCAACTTCGTCCTCACGCCACCTGATGAATACAACTACGTGGTCAACAAAATCAGGGGTTCGTACTGCAGTATTCACAATAAACAATACTGGTCCTCATACAGTCAGGGACTTATATAGACCTTCTCACGGTCTTCAGCCGATGTAGGTGCATATTCCCAAAATTGGAATTACATAGAGGATTCATCACGAGTGTTTTTTAATATGGGAAATATCAACCGAGTCTTAGTTAATTGGTATTTGCCGAGCCTTTGGCGAGGCAAATTCCGATTAACGGGACAAGGTTGATATTTCCCATATTAAAAAACACGAGTGATGAATTCTATTTATTATTTTCACATTTTTGCTTCCAAAATAAGGAATAATTGCATTAAACATTAACATCAGCAACTTGTCGAAATCTTAGGTATAGATCGTGCGTAGTGATACATGTTTTCCATAGCCATGTAAACCAAAATAAACAATTCGCTGAGAAAAAAAGTTCCTCGGATTATTTTAAACAAAATACTTGAACAGACTTTTGCAGAATAATTGAAACTTTAATAACGGTAACAACAACGATTCTGTGTAATCTGATTATATCTCTGGTGTAACTTCACTTATGATATATAGTTTCAAATCAAACCGCTCGCTCTTTCGGTTATCTAATTTGCATATCTAATTTGCATACTTATGTCATTGGGGTATGACATACATGTTTTTATGTCATAAGCTTATGTCATGGATAAATGCTTAAGTTAAATGATAAAATAGTTTAATATACAGTAAACTACGTTTAAAACGAACACACTTATAACATGTATAATGAACTGATGGATATAATGAAATGTGTTTTGATCTCGTCCATTTGCTGTATATATATGCTGTATATATGCTTATAACAAACTACGGTTATAACGAACTAAAATAAGTGGTCCCTTTGAGTTGGTTATAACCGTAGTTAGTTTACTGTAGTTATAACCAATGGTATGGCTTTATAGAGATAACTTGTATTTATTACTTGCCCATGAAGATATCGACCGTTTAATACACATACTGCTGTATTACACATTGTGTAATACCAAAACGCGTGCTTATGAACTCTCAGAACATGTTTCATGAACAAATGTTGAAAGCTCTCAACATGCCGTCACATGCCATTATTTCGCCGGTGGATCTTGCAACACAATTCCACAAATTACGTCATCGGGTATTGTGACGTTATTGTAAACTTTGAGGTGCAAGGCCTGTTCCACAAGGTGATCGTATTGTAGCGCAACGACAATCGTTAGTCTAAGTTAAAGTATGTGAGTTGCGATAGTTTTAGCCCTACGATAATTTTGTGAATTCTAAAGGTGGACCGTTGTATGGTATTAAATTCATACATTTCAACTTTTGACGTGTTTGAAGTATTATTCTGTTAAACTCAATTGGACTATGCCGTGGATCGTGTAGGTGTCAGCCTATTAATACTCAACAGTATAATTCTCAAAACGTTGTAAATGACAAGTAATAAATAAAATACTAAACTCGCTCCCGTGTAAAACCAATTTTATGAAACTCATGAATAGTTGTGGTATTACACGGGAGCTCGTTTAGTATTCTATATGTATCTGATAACAGGACCAATAAAGAGAACTGAAACGTTGCTCGCAGTTTTACACTGTTACATTGTTACAATTTAAAATACCTCCTAATTTGAGAAAATAACATTTTAACAAATTTCCGAATTTTAAGAAATGATTACTTTTGCCCAATTATTCCTGCCAACATTTAGTTAGGAATCCTACATAAATCCCTGTACAGTGGATGTAGTGCTGATACTCCAGTGCAGTTCATTTCCTTTTCTCCTCACCCACCTGGTTAATGAGTAGGTAAAATATTCAAAATAAGTAATTTCATCTGACACAAAGGGTGCATTTGACATGGCAGATCATTCCAGTGTGTGCCTATTATTTCCACTGATGCTGTTTAAACAGTTTTCATCGGTCCCGACTCACATAAGTAATAAATCACTGAATGAATCTCTCCATCATCTCAGGAGGAAGTAATACCTATGGCCTGTCTGATATATACAGTTAAGTTTACATTTGGTTAATTCATGTCATCCTGTAGACAGACAAAATTATTCTTTGCAGTTTTGATCTAATTAATTTGTTTGCAGATCCACAGACCCTAAAATCACTAATTTCAGTAATAAAAAGAATCTTCAAAACAGGACAATATGTAAAACAAATACCGGTAATACTTTGATTTGTCATGAAAAGTAAACTCTTATTTTCTAACTTTTCCAGATGTTTAACATGTTTAATATGTGCAAGATTTTATTTGTAGTTTTATTTTGACCACTGACCTACTGTTGTGGAAAAAGAAATTTTGAAGTTTTAAGTATAGAGGCTTAAGATCCTTTGTGATGTACACATGACTATTGTATCTATGTGTCCGATCAGTAGTGACGTGGGTGTTGAGAAATATTTGTGTGTCACTCCAGTTGATGCTGGTACCCTCAACACGGACATCAAGACCTCCGCTTGCCTCGCACCAACGAAGGAAGTGCTGTCTATCCGAGCTTACACTGCCCGGCGCCGGCTCAACCGTCTCCGCCGCGCAGCATGTCAGTTGTATCAGTCGGAGAAAACTGTCAGTGTCATCCTGAAGCTGGAGTATGAGGTGGAGAAGAAAAGGATCTCGGTCAGGAGAGACAGGATGGTGCACGCAGACATAGGTTGGTGGGGAGATGGGGTGTCGGGTAGTCAGATGGATATGGGGTGTCGGGTAGACAGTTGGGAAATGGAGGGTTGGGAGACGGGGGTCGGGTAGACAGTTAGGAAATGGCTTGTTGGGTAGTCAGATGGATATGTGGTGGTGGGTAGACAGTTAGGAAATGGGGTGTTGGGTAGACAGTTGGGAGATGGGGGGTGGTGGGTAGACCGTTGGAAGATGGGGTGTCGGGTAGTCAGATGGATATGTGGTGTCGGGTAGACAGTTGGGAAATGGAGTGTTGGGTAGACAGTGGTGTCGGGTAGACAGTTTGGAGAAGGGGGTGTCGGGTAGACAGTTAGGAAATGGGTTGTTGGGTAGTCAGATGGATATGTGGTGGTGGGTAGACAGTAAGGAAATGGGGTTTTGGGTAGACAGTTGGGAGATGGGGTGTCGGGTAGTCAGATGGATATGTGGTGTCGGGTAGACAGTTGGGAAATGGAGTGTTGGGTAGACGGTTGGGAGGGTGGTGTCGGGTAGACAGTTTGGAGAAGGGGGTGTCGGGTAGACAGTATGGAGATGGGGTGTTGGGTAGACAGTTGGGAGAGGGGGTGTCGGGTAGTCACATGGATATGTGGTGTCGGGTAGAAGGTTGGAAAATGGGGTGTTGGGTAGACAGTTGGGAGATGGGGGGTCGGGTAGACAGTTGGGAGATGGGGTGTTGGGTAGACAGTTGGGAGATGGGGTGTTGGGTAGACAGTTGGGAGATGGGGTGTTGGGTAGACAGTTGGGAGATGGGGTGTCTGGTAGACAGTATGGAGATGGGGTGTTGGGTAGACAGTTGGGAGATGGGGTGTCGGGTAGACAGTTGGGAGATGGGGGGTCAGGTAGACAGTTGGGAGATGGGGTGTTGGGTAGACAGTTGGGAGATGGGGGGTCGGGTAGACAGTAAGGAGATGGGGTGTCGGGTAGACAGTTGGGAGATGGGGGTTCGGGTAGACAGTTGGGAGATGGGGTGTTGGGTAGACAGTATGGAGATGGGGTGTTTGGTAGACAGTTGGGAGATGGGGGGTCGGGTAGACAGTTGGGAGATGGGGTGTTGGGTAGACAGTATGGAGATGGGGGGTCGGGTAGTCAGTTGGGAGATGGGGTGTTGGGTAGACAGTTGGGAGATGGGGTGTTGGGTAGACAGTTGGGATATGGGGTGTTGGGTAGACAGTTGGGAGATGGGGTGTTGGGTAGACAGTTGGGAGATGGGGTGTTGGGTAGACAGTTGGGAGATGGGGTGTCGGGTAGACAGTTGGGAGATGGGGGTGTCGGGTAGACCGTTGGGAGATGGGGTGTTGGGTAGTCAGATGGATATGTGGTGTCGGGTAGACAGTTGGGAAATGGAGTGTTGGGTAGACCGTTGGGAGAGGGGGTTCGGGTAGACAGTTAGGAAATGTGGTGTTGGGTAGACTGTTGGGAGATGGGGTGTTGGGTAGTCAGATGGATATGTGGTGTTGGGTAGTCAGATGGATATGTGGTGTTGGGTAGACAGTTGGGAAATGGGGTGTTAGGTAGACGGTTGGGAGACGGGGGTCGGGTAGACGGTTGGGAGATGGGGTGTTAGGTAGACGGTTGGGAGATGGGGTGTCGGGTAGAAGGTTGGAAAATGGGGTGTTGGGTAGACAGTTGGGAGATGGGGTGTTGGGTAGACAGTTGGGAGATGGGGTGTTGGGTAGACAGCTGGGAGAGGGGGTGTTAGGTAGTCAGATGGATATGTGGTGTCGGGTAGACTGTTGGGAGATGGGGTGCCAGGTAGTCAGATGGATATTTGTTGATTTGTATTTCCGGTGTTTAGTGATCGCGGTGATCAGCTGATAATGTTTTCTGAGATGGGGGAAAACATTGTGTCATTGGAAAACTTGAGTTTACTAAAGATTGGGAGCCATGCTTTACCGCACTATAATCAAAGCGCTCAATAACGAGGGAACACTGTACGTAACAACTTGTAATGTGTGTGAAAAGTTGTACGAAAATACGCTATTTGAAGGGGGCGTGGCCTAAATGCACATGTCCGATTGGGATTTTAAGTTTTCCAGACCCCTGGGTGACACCTTGGTACAGATGGGGTTACACCAGTTTACATCCTCTCAGCTAAACTATTCCTGCAGACTGTCAGCGGTCTAAACATGGGATATGATTTGTAAAAAGTGTGTCTGTCATCTTAAGTCATTACATAACCACACTTCAGCATTACAATATATATATCATGAATATGATACAGGTAGATAGTGTTCCAACTTGATGATTCACGTTTTCAAATACTGGCTCTACAAGAGAAACTTCTTGTTTCAGGCATCAAGCAGCGGATCCTGGACATGCTGCTCTGCTACAACCCACTGTGGCTCCGGGTCGGCCTCGAGGTAATCACCACCCTGGCGTAAACCATGTAGACAGTTACAACAGGAACATGTGTAGAGCATTTGAACTATCTGTTTTACTTGCCCTTTGTTGGTTTGCCCGAAACATGCTGTGTCCATATATGATGTGAAGCAATATGAGGTTTTATAACTGAACAACCGCAAAAAGCTGGAAAATTGCTGATGCGGCGGAAAACAATATGTATTCATTCATCCCCAACAACCAGTGAATTATTTAAACTGTTTACAAAATGTGGTGTTATGTGTACTGTGAATGTGAATTTTCTTTCCCTGTTACCTGGGGCAGTGGGGTAGCCTAGTGGTTAAAGCGTTCTCTCGTCATGTCGAAGACCCGGTTTGATTCCCCCACATGGGTAGAATGTGTGAAGCCCACTTCTGGTTTCCCTATCGTGATATTGCTGGAATATTGCTAAAAGCGATGTAAAACCAAGCGGCATTAAACCCGACACTCGCTCGCTCGCTCGCTCACTCACTCACTCACTCACTCACTCACTCACTCACTCACTCACTCACTCACTCACTCACTCACTCACTCACTCACTCACTCACTCACTCACTCACTCACTCACTCACTCACTCACTCACTCACTCACTCACTCACTCACTCACTCACTCACTGTTACCTACACTGTCACCTTCGAAAAAAAATTCCTAAACCCTTTTCTTTTGGTTTCTTTTGTTTTTCATGTTAAAGACTTTCATCGTTAAGATGACCACCTTAACTTTAGTGTAGTGTCACTGTGATAGACATGGAGAGAGTAAACAGTTGCTCTCTTGGTAGAAACTTGATGTCCTTTGTAATCAGACTTCAAGGCGTCAGCCAAATTGATTTGTAAAACTTTATTTCAAATTATTTTGCATACAAGGTGGGGTACATGGTTTTTTAAACACGTTGCCATGATGTTCAAGCTTGTCTAGTTGGGATTACAGTTTTTGTCAACATACAGTCAGCTTTCTGTACATACAGTGCTTTTCAGAATACCGTATTCAACGTAATAAGCGCCCCGCTCTAATAAGCGCCCACGGCGTTATTTGCTAATATACTGGCTAGTGAACAACCCAGTAAGCACCTTTTCCGATTGATCAATGTACACAAGACCTATTTATTCGTGTATAATACGCACTCGTTTGTTATATGCACCCTTAATTATGGGCAATTAAATTCTCGATAATATATCTATCGTGTATAATACACACAGATTTCTTTTTTAAATTATTTCAGGCTGTCAGCATTAACCACAAAATTTACAATCTTTCAAACTTGTTTTTAATATCACCAAAATTATATTCTAATAAGAGCCCCCTATTTCTAATTTTGAGAGCGCCCCGGGCGCTTATTACGTCGAATACGGTATGTGTTTTCCCATGACTATTATTTTGAGATGTAGTATTTATAGATATTTCTTGGCATGAATGCCTGCAAGATTGTAGATGTGGTCTAAAACAAAATTTTATCACTTTACCTTTATTAAGAATCGTATCTATTTAATAATGTTTTTAAAAATATCACCTGAAGGTTTTCAAAAAGTATGCATCATGTTTTTGTATCCACGTTTCAGACTGTCTATGGTGAGGTGCTGCCTCTTCAGTCTAACAGTGATGTGATTGGCCTGTCTCGATACATCTTGTGTCGTCTCCTCGGTAACCCAGACATTGCTCAGGAGTATGCCCACCCCAGCGTGCCGCACCTCTACAGAGACGGTAAGCCATGTCCTCCACGTACTCTACATGTTCTGGAATGGTCAACGTGTTCATCATATCAAAATATTGAAAATTACTGTACATTATTTTTTTTCTTCACTGAGCTAAACAAAATGTTATCCAATGGCAATGAACCAAAAGTGGAAAAGTAGTCAAATTCCATTTCCAAATTGCACCAGATTGAGAAGTTATGTCATCTCCTGATGATTCTTGTTGTGATTTTATGTTTTATAGATGTTTTGCTAACCAATTAAATAATTTTGTTTAGCTCAGGACTTTTTGTATATTTGGTTCACAACTTCTTTGGATTAGTCGGTTAAGTGGGGAAAAAATTCACTGAATCCCTTGAGATTTTCCTTCCGCAACAATCTGTTTAAACTGAGCTCCCTCATCCACGTAACACGTGTTTCAGGGTACGCCGAGGCCATTGCGAAGCATGCGTTGAAGAAGTTCCTGCTCATCGTGTACTTCCTGGACCACGCCAAGACCGCCCGCCTCATACAGCACGACCCCTGCCTCTTCTGCAAGGATTCAGATGTCAAGGTGAGGTGCAGGTCAAGGCATCACAAGATAGAGGAAAATGTGTGGTGCTCAATCTCGTTAAGTTACAATCTTTTGCTCCAATACAATACCTCTCTGCAGACATATCAGGTGCATGAGGTGGAGCCAGTTAGCATCAGGGCTTCTAATTTCTCGTGATGAATGTACTTTCATGACTTTCTGTGTGCCTGAGCGTAGTTTTATGTCACCGTGGGTCTGACCAGAGTCACATGTCTCTCGGTGGGTCTGAGCGTAGTCAAATGTCTCTCGGGGGGTCTGAGCGTAGTTTTATGTCTCCGTGGGTCTGACCAGAGTCACATGTCTCTTGGTGGGTCTGAGCGTAGTCCCATGTCTCTCGGGGGGTCTGAGCGTAGTTTTGTCTCCGTGGGTCTGAGCATAGTTTTATGTCTCCGGGGGTCTGACCAGAGTCACATGTCTCTTGGTGGGTCTGAGCGTAGTCCCATGTCTCTCGGGGGGTCTGAGCGTAGTTTTATGTCTCTCGGGGGGTCTGAGCGTAGTTTTATGTCTCGGTGGGTCTGAGCATAGTTTTATGTCTCCATGGGTCTGACCAGAGTCACATGTCTCTCGGTGGGTTTGAGCGTAGTCCCATGTCTCTCGGGGGGTCTGAGCGTAGTTTTATGTCTCCGTGGGTCTGAGCATAGTTTTATGTCTCCGTGGGTCTGACCAGAGTCACATGTCTCTTGGTGGGTCTGAGCGTAGTCCCATGTCTCTCGGGGGGTCTGAGCGTAGTTTTTTGTATCCGCATGTCTGAGCATAGTTTTATGTCTCCGTGCGTCTGAGCATAGTTTTATGTCTCCGTGGGTCTGACCAGAGTCACATGTCTCTCGGTGGGTCTGAGCGTAGTCCCATGTCTCTCGGGGGGTCTGAGCGTAGTTTTTTGTATCCGCGGGTCTGAGCATAGTTTTATGTCTCCATGGGTCTGACCAGAGTCACATGTCTCTTGGTGGGTCTGAGCGTAGTCACATGTCTCTCAGGGGGTCTGAGCATAGTTTTATGTCTCCGTGGGTCTGAGCATAGTTTTATGTCTCCGTGGGTCTGACCAGAGTCACATGTCTCTTGGTGGGTCTGAGCGTAGTCCCATGTCTCTCGGGGGGTCTGAGCGTAGTTTTATGTCTCCGTGGGTCTGAGCATAGTTTTATGTCTCCGTGGGTCTGACCAGAGTCACATGTCTCTTGGTGGGTCTGAGCGTAGTCCAATGTCTCTCGGGGGGTCTGAGCGTAGTTTTTTCTATCCGTGGGTCTGAGCATAGTTTTATGTCTCCGTGCGTCTGAGCATAGTTTCATGTCTCCGTGGGTCTGACCAGAGTCACATGTCTCTCGGTGGGTCTGAGCGTAGTCCCATGTCTCTCGGGGGGTCTGAGCGTGGTTTTTTGTATCCGTGGGTCTGAGCATAGTTTTATGTCTCCGTGGGTCTGACCAGAGTCACATGTCTCTCGGTGGGTCTGAGCGTAGTCCCATGTCTCTCGGGGGGTCTGAGCGTAGTTTTTTGTATCCGCGGGTCTGAGCATAGTTTTATGTCTCCGTGCGTCTGAGCATAGTTTCATGTCTCCGTGGGTCTGACCAGAGTCACATGTCTCTCGGTGGGTCTGAGCGTAGTCCCATGTCTCTCGGTGGGTCTGAGCGTAGTTTTTTGTATCCGCGGGTCTGAGCATAGTTTTATGTCTCCGTGGGTCTGACCAGAGTCACATGTCTCTCGGTGGGTCTGAGCGTAGTCCCATGTCTCTCGGGGGGTCTGAGCGTAGTTTTTTGTATCCGTGGGTCTGAGCATAGTTTTATGTCTCCGTGCGTCTGACCAGAGTCCCTTGTCTCTCCATGAGTCTGAATGTATTTTGAGTCTGAGCATCCATCGTTCCACATCTCCCCAGGCAAGCAAGGACATGCTGACTCAGTTTTCCCGGGACTACCTGAGTGGGGAGGGGGATGTCACCAAGCACCTGGCGTACTTCGGCTACACCGTGTCCCACGTCCAGACGGCCATGGACGAGTTCGACTACGCTGTCACCAAGCTTGGAGTGGACCTCAGGGATGGTGTCAGGCTTTCGTAAGTATACAGATATTGTGAAATAATCTTTCATTTTTCATACATTGCTAAAATATAAAGCAACCAATCAGAATAAAACTACAATATATCATTTAATATTATAAGAAGACGCTGACTCATGCCGAAAACCTGTGTTCGATTCCCATGATGGGTGCCATGTGATTCAGTATGTCCTTCTTTTTCCTTCACAGGATATTTTGGAATGCTAAAAACAACATACACCTAGAGCAAAGAGAAGTGATCATTTGTTTCCTAGTTGACTATAAAAATTGTGTTGTATTTATGCTTCATGTGGTGTTTTGAACCTCTTGCATAGGCGAGTGTTGGAGCTCCTAACAGGGGAGTGGAATCTAGTGAAGTGCCTACGAGCTCCAGCTGTCAGCCGACTACAGAAGATTCACAACATAGAGATGGTATTCCGCACCCTGACCGAGCGGGGACTTGATGTGGCCAAGGTTGATGGTAATAGCCCAGCGCTTTTTCCAAAATGTGAAAGTCCCCAATGGCAAATTTGGGAAAAGATTAAAATCCTTATTTATATTTCAAAGGTATTTAGATATTGCATGCAATTCAATAATGTAGTGGGGGCACGTGTGGCCCAGTCGTCTAAGGCGCCGTGATTTGCTGTGCAGAGTTGCGTCCCTTGGGCACGCCAGAAACCTATGATTGTGGGTTCGAATCCCGGTTCTCCCCGACTATGTTTCTAGGTTTGGCAGCACCATACCCGTGCTCGTGGGTTTCACCAAAGTGGTAAACATCTGAGACCTGCATCACTTCGGGATTTCCTCCCACATTGAGCTGACACGCCACGATGTAACTGGAATACTGTCAAAAGCGGCGTTAAACCCAACTCACTCACTCAATAATGTAGTAATAAGATTTAAGACAGCATGATTGGTCGGAAGTTACCAATGCTTGTCTAAAGAGGTGACTAAATGGATCTGGTGGTCGATTGGTGATGTTCTTGATTGCATGTCTCTGTACCCTGATGATATGGGGCATTGCTTGTAATATCAGTCTCTGGTTTGTCTGGTCAAGACTCAAATGTTTACAAGCTATCATGATTTAACAATCTTTGTAGTATGAATGAAGAGCAACATCAGTTCTTGCCCTTCCTGTCTTCTGTTCTGTAGCCACTATTCACACATTTGTGTAAGTCTGAAAACAAACGACACACTTGTTACAAGTCTCTTTCATTTTCAGGTGGCAAAATTGGAGCCAGAGATGTGGTTGATGGACATCGTGAGAAGACCCTCAAGATTCTATGGCATCTCATCTTTCACTTCCAGGTACATCCTCAATATAACTTCCACAACCTCTGTACAGCCCTGACAACCTCAGTGTAACTCCCAAAACCCCAGTACAGTCCTGACAACTTCAGTGTAACTCCCAAAACCCCAGTACAGCCCCACAACCTCAGTGTAGCTCCCACAACCCCAGTACAGCCCCACAACCTCAGTGTAGCTCCCACAACCCCAGTGCAGCTCCACAACCTCAGTGTAGCTCCAACAACCTCAGTGTAGCTCCCACCCCAGTACAGCCCCACAACCTCAGTGTAGCTCCCACAACCTCAGTACAGCCCCACAACCTCAGTGTAGCTCACACAACCCAGATACAGCCCCACAACCTCAGTGTAGCTCCCACAACCTCAAAATAGCTCCCACAACCCCAGTACAGCCCCACAACCTCAGTGTAGCTCCCACCCCAGTACAGCCCCACCTCAATGTAGCTCCCACAACCCAATACAGCCCCACAACCTCAGTGTAGCTCCCACAACCTCATTGCAGCTCCCACAACCCCAGTACAGCTCCACAACCTCAGTGTAGCTCCCACAACCCCAGTACAGCCCCACAACCTCAGTGTAGCTCCCACAACTTCCTTGTAGCTCCCACAACCCCAGTACAGCTCCACAACCTCAGTGTAGCTCCCACAACCCCAGTACAGCCCCACAACCTCAGTGTAGCTCCACAACCTCAGTGTATCACCCACAACCTCAGTGTAGCTCCCACAACCCCAGTACAACCCCCACAACCTCAGTGTAGCTCCCACCTCATTGTAGCTCCCACAACCCCAGTACAGCCACACAACCTCAGTGTAGCTCCCACAACCTCAGTGTAGCTCCCACAACCCCAGTACAGCCCCACAACCTCAGTATAGCTCCCACAACCCCAGTACAACCCCCACAACCTCAGTGTAGCTCCCACCTCATTGTAGCTCCCACAACCCCAGTACAGCCACACAACCTCAGTGTAGCTCCCACAACCTCAGTGTAGCTCCCACAACCCCAGTACAGCCCCACAACCTCAGTATAGCTCCCACAACCTCAGTGTAGCTCCCACAACCCCAGTACAGCCACACAACCTCAGTGTAGCTCCCACAGCCCCATCTCAGTGTAGCTTACACAACCCAAATACAGCCCCACAACCCCAGTACAGCACAACAACCTCATTGTAGCTCCAACAACCCCAGTACAGACCTACAACCTCAGTGTAGCTTACACAACCCCAGTACAGCCCCACAACCTCAGTGTAGCTTACACAACCCCAGTACAGCCCCACAACCTCAGTGTAGCTCCCACAACCCCAGTACAGCTCCACAACCCAATTACAGCCCCACAACCTCAGTGTAGCTCCCACAACCCCAGTACAGCCCCACAACCTCAGTGTAGCCCCCACAACCCAATTACAGCCCCATAACCTCAGTGTAGCTCCTACAACCTCAGTGTAGCTCCCACAACCCTAGTACAGCCCCACAACCTCAGTGTAGCTCCCACAACCCAAGTACAGCCCCACAACCTCAGTGTAGCTCCTACAACCTCAGTGCAGCACCCACAACCAAAGGACAGCCCCACAAACTCAGTGTAACTCCCACAACCTCAGTGTAGCTCCCACAACCCCAGTACAGCCCCACAACCTCAGTGTAGCTCCCCCAATCCAGTACAGCCCCACAACCCCAGTACAGCACAACCTCATTGTAGCTCCCACAACCCAAGAAAACCCCTACAACCTCAGTGTAGCTCCCACAACCCCAGTACAGCCCCACAACCTCAGTGTAGCTCCCACAACCCGACTTCAGCCCAACAACCTCAGTGTAGCTCCAACAACCCCAGTACAGCCCCACAACCTCAGTGTAGCTCCCACAACCCCACTTCAGCCCCACAACCTTAGTGCAGCTCCCACAACCCCAGTACAGCCCCACAACCTCAGTGTAGCTCCCACAACCCCAGTACAGCCCCACAACCTCAGTGTAGCTCCCACAACCCCAGTACAACCCCACAACCTCAGTACAGCCCCACAACCTCAGTGTAGCTCCCACAACCCCAGTGCAGCACCCACAACCACAGGACACCCCCACAACCTCAGTGTAGCTCCCACAACCCCAGTGCAGCACCCACAACCACAGGACAGCCCCACAACCTCAGTGTAGCTCCTACAACCCCATTACAGCCCCACAGCCCCAGTACAGCCCCACAACCTCAGTATAGCTCCCACAACCCTAGTACAACCCCCACAACCTCAGTGTAGCTCCTACAACCCCATTACAGCCCCACAACCCCAGTACAGCCATCACAACCCCAGTGCAGCACCCACTGCCTCAGTGTAGCTCCCACAACCCCAGTGCAGCTCCCACAACCCCAGTACAGCCATCACAACCCCAGTACAGCACCCACAACCTCAGTGTAGCTCCCACAACCCCAGTACAGCCCCACAACCCCAGTACAGCCATCACAACCCCAGTACAGCCATCACAACCCCAGTACAGCACCCACAGCCTCAGTGCAGCATGGTTAACCTCACTACAGCCCCACAACATCAGTGTAGCTCCCACAACCCCAGTACAGCCCCACAACCTCAGTGCAGCATGGTTAACCTCACTGTACCCACCACATCAGGACAAACTTTGTCAAGAATATGTGTCTTATGTCCCCTTGACTTTACCTACTTGAGTTTCATCTCGGTGACAGATTCTGATCATGTGACATCTTGTTTTAATGCCAGACAGCCTTGGCTGCCTTGTACATGCACTGTGTCACTGGTATGCCATGCCTGTTGAGACAGTCTTGTAATGTCATGACAGGTGTGTTACAGTCTCATCAATGGGTTGTTTCTTGATACATTTCCTAATATTTCACCGAAGCAGACATAGGTCTGTCTCAACACTGTCTCAGCCTAGGCTCCAAGACCTTCAAACTTAGCAATACAGACGACCCTGGCTGGGATATATCCGTTTGTAATTTACCAACTTGTGTATCGTATGTTTCTCAGATGTGAATGTTTGAATGTCTGACATGTATCGACTGTTACCTGTGCTTATGAATGTGTTACATGTGTTTATGAATGTGTTACCTGTGTTTATGAATGTGTTACCTGTGTTTATGAATGTGTTACATGTGCTTATGAATGTGTTACATGTGCTTATGAATGTGTTACATGCGTTTATGAATGTGTTACATGTGTTTATGAATGTGTTACATGTGTTTATGAATGTGTTACATGTGTTTATGAATGTGTTACATGTGTTTATGAATGTGTTACATGTGTTTATGAATGTGTTACACATGTTTATGAATCTGTTACCTGTGTTTATGAATGTGTTACACATGTTTATGAATCTGTTACATGTGTTTATGAATGTCTTCCCTGTGTGATCATGACCAACTTCCACCCCGTACAGGTTGATGTGCTGATCAACTTGGAGCAACTCCGAGAGGAGACATCCCTCCTCGAGCAGTCACTCAGGGTCAAGGTCAACATGCAGAAACTCCTCAAGATAAAACAAGAGGACAACCTTGGTAGGTAGCCCACACATGAAACTGACCCCATTGTCCACAAGAATGGGGAATCTTAATGCAGACTGTGTTTTACGTATAGACACACAAAGTTAAAGATAAATCCTGACATCTGGTGCAAATGTTTTGCTACTTCATATGTATCTAGCTGGGCAAATACGACTTATCTCGGGAGATGCAGATGATCCCTCATTCGTTTTGTAGAATCAGGATCACACACACACTCATGTGATCGCTATGTAACATATTGTGGCTTAAGTATTGGATTTGTAGCATATCATGGATTAGATTTTGGTTTATGTAACACATTATGGCTTTGATTTTTTATGTAGCATGTCGTGGGTTATATATTGGATATGTAGCATATTGTGGGTTATATATTGGATATGTAGCATATTGTGGGTTATATATTGGATATGTAGCATAACGTGAGTTATATATTGGATGTGTAGCAAATTGTAGGTTATATATTGGATATGTAGCATAACGTTGGTTATATATTGGATATGTAGCATATTGTAGGTTATATATTGGATATGAAGCACATTGTGGGTTATATATTGGATGTGTAGCATATTGTGGGTTATATATTGGATATGTAGCATAACGTTGGTTATATATTGGATGTGTAGCATATCGCGGGTTATATATTGGATATGTAGCAAAACGTGGGTTATATATTGGATGTGTAGCATATTGTGGGTTATATATTGGATATGTAGCATAAAGTTGGTTATATATTGGATGTGTAGCATATCGCGGGTTATATATTGGATGTGTAGCATAACGTGGGTTATATATTGGATGTGTAGCATATTGTGGGTTATATATTGGATATGTAGCATAACGTTGGTTATATATTGGATATGTAGCATATCGCGGGTTATATATTGGATATGTAGCATATTGTGGGTTATATATTGGATGTGTAGCATAACGTGGTTATATATTGGATGTGTAGCATATTGTGGGTTATATATTGGATATGTAGCATAACGTTGGTTATATATTGGATGTGTAGCATATCGCGGGTTATATATTGGATGTGTAGCATAACGTGGGTTATATATTGGATGTGTAGCATATTGTGGGTTATATATTGGATATGTAGCATAACGTTGGTTATATATTGGATATGTAGCATATCGCGGGTTATATATTGGATATGTAGCATATTGTGGGTTATATATTGGATATGTAGCATATTGTGGGTTATATATTGGATATGTAGCATAACATGGGTTATATATTGGATGTGTAGCATATTGTAGGTTATATATTGGATATGTAGCATAACGTTGGTTATATATTGGATATGTAGCATATTGTAGGTTATATATTGGATATGTAGCACATTGTGGGTTATATATTGGATATGTAGCATAACGTTGGTTATATATTGGATATGTAGCATAACGTTGGTTATATATTGGATGTGTAGCATAACGTGGGTTATATATTGGATGTGTAGCATATTGTGGGTTATATATTGGATGTGTAGCATAACGTTGGTTATATATTGGATATGTAGCATGTCGCGGGTTATATATTGGATATGTAGCATAACGCGGGTTATATATTGGATATGTAGCATATTGTGGGTTATATATTGGATGTGTAGCATATCGCGGGTTATATATTGGATGTGTAGCATAACGTTAGTTATATATTGGATATGTAGCATATCGTGGGTTATATATTGGATGTGTAGCATATTGTGGGTTATATATTGGATGTGTAGCATATCGCGGGTTATATATTGGATAAGTATAATATATTGTGGGTTAGATATTGGATATGTAGCATTACATGGGTTATATATTGGATATGTAGCTTATCGTGGTTAGATATTGGGACATTTGCCTTCAATGGGAATCCTAGATAAATCCTGTTACACGTTTGTTTGTTTTTTACCCCTTACGAAGCTATTGATATTTCAACTGGTCATAAATGTATTGCCATCTGATTACAGACAATCACAATGCATTGGTAGTAGATCAATTTGACACATCTTCCTCTTAGCTGTGCGAGTGAGTTTCAATAGAGTGGTAAATATCTCCAGCCTGCCACAACATGTCATAACTATTCGCACAGCGATGCTCAGTGACTTACTCACTCACCCTGGACAATGTCCACCTGTGTTTGTGCTGCAGCGCGTCGAGACAGCGGGGGTCTGATGAGCCAAGACAACGAGAGGCTGGAGATGCTGCTGAAGTGGTGTCGAGTTGTGTGTCTGCACTACGGGGTCAAGGTGGGTGCTGCAGCTAGTGTGTTGTACACTGTCAGACATTCACAGAACATCCCCAACCCTTTCCTGTGGGGAGTCGTGTCCTGAAGGCAGACGAGTCAAGTGATCGTGCAATCTCATTAAAATCAGATCTTAGTTCTCGCTGCCGCTAAACAAAGATCTGAGGACATCCCATTAAGGGTCACATCAGAACGACCTTTCGCGAACTTTGACCGACCACTGAAACGACTAACAAGAAGTTGATATCAGCCAATTAGAACGCAGCTTTCTCGAGCTTAACCGCACTCGTTTCAACCTGGCGACTTCCATTTCAGACTACGCTTTAAAAATATGTTGACACAGTTCTCGATTAAAATTTTGAAAACCGAACAAACAAACATTCCAGAATGTCTAATATATGGTTGCAATTGTGCTTCCCACATACTGTGCAACACCTCCTCCATTCAAATGTTTATCCCACGGAAGCGAGAGATAGATGATAATTTTGACGGAATCAGTCGAAAGGACCTAACTGTCATTCGGAATACCCCGTTTTAACGTTTTCAAGGTTGCATGATAAGAAAACAGATTCTGACTGTCACTTTCACGATCTGGTAAGCGACGCTTTGATTGGCCGGGTGAAAGGTTGTTCTGACGTGACCCGAAATGGGATGTCCTCAGATCTTTGTTTAGCTGATCTGATTTTTATGAGATTGGTGATCGTGAGTTTGAAGGCCAGATTTGCCCCTGATTGGGATTGTAAGTTTGTCAGCAGTATGCCTGTTCAGTGGGTTTCACCAAAGTGATACAAGTACCGGTAGACCTGCATCACTTCATGCTTTCAAGCCTCATCATGTATATATATACTACTGAAAAGAAGTTAAAGAACACCCAATAATTTCATAGGTGTGCAGTTTATCTGTCATGTCATAATACTATAGTTAATCTGGCATGCATGTAACTAAAGTAATATGAAAGATTGGGGTGGTCCTTAACTTTTTTGGAGCAGTATATATGTCATGGGTATCTCTCACATGCGCACGCACACGCACACGTACACGCACACACACACAGTGAAGATTTGTCCTACACAGAAAATGTGAAAGGAAATCTCATTAATTCACAGCAGGTGGACGGTTTCATCAGCCAATAAGTGTGGATGTTCTGGTTTCTTGTACAAGCAAGCAAACCTTCGGAAGCAGCATTTCTATATCAAATTAATAATGTAACTAGGCAGTTCCTAATGGAGGATAATAATGGCCACTCTCTGTTGTGGTTACTTTACATTTTCTTATCATTTTTCGTATCTTTCAATCAACTACAAAATATATTCTTTTAGCACTAGTTTCATATATCTATCCGGTAATACTGCCTTAAAAGTGATGTCTAAAGCTGACAGTTTGACTCAAACCACAAGCATCCTTCATTTTGATTGGGCAGTCTATGTATTCTGTGACCAGATTTGTCAGATCTTGTCAGAGAGAGGTATCTCACCAGAGGGAAAGATATCACTTTAATGAGATTGATAAAAAGGTATACTGCATGATATCAACCACAAGTAATTGTATGTGTTGGTACGGGGGCACAGGTGAAACCTAAGGTTGTGGGTTCAATTATGTTTCTAGGTTTATCAACAACATACCTGTGATTGTGGGTTTCACCAAAGTGGTAAACGTCTGAGACCTGCATCACTTCGGGCTTTCGTCCGACATTAAGGTGACACACCGTGATATAACTGGAATAATGATAAAACACTCACTCACTCACTCACTCACTCACTCACTCACTCACTCACTCACTCACTCACTCACTCACTCACTCACTCACTCACTCACTCACTCACTCACTCACTGTGTTGGTACAGTCCACATGCAGTCATTGTAAACTGTCACTATATGCAGGTGGAGAACTTCACTGTGTCATTTTCGGATGGGCGTGCCCTGTGCTGCTTGCTGCACCACTACCATCCCGGGCTGCTGCCGCTGTCGCAGGTCCGCTTCCAGACCTCCCAGAGTCGGCAACAGGACCTAGAGGACAAGGAGGAGGCGGCATGTGACCTTGACCTCAGCCAGGACTGGAGTTTCCAATATGGCTCAGGTGAGGCTGCAAGTTGATGTGCATGAGACATTCTGGAAATGTTTTGGCACTTGAAAGGCACATAACGTCAACAAGGATGATAAATGAATATATGACACTTTCTTATGGGTAACAGCTTCTTGTAATCTTTGAAATCTTGTTTCAGACTTACTTCTTGTCCCTTCACACGGAAAAGAAGTAGCTCCGAAATTTTGTTTCAAAGAATAAAAGAAGTTCTCATCCATAACAAGTGTTATGTATTCATGTTCTTTCAACTTCAAAATGCCTATCAAAGACTTCAAGAATGAAGAATGGCACACATGGTTTGTGCAGGCGTCAGAATGGTTGGGTCTGTCTTTAAAAGTCCTTAGATTTTATGGAGATTTATCTAGACCTGTCAGAGGCTTATTTTCAGCCCCTATTTTGCAGCCAACGTCAGTAAAAATTCCAAAATGGGAATATATAATGTTAAGAAAATTCTGAGCCCAGTCTTCACTACAAATATATCCGCAAAAATATTCATGATCCCTAACTTTTCACTCATTCTTGTCAGACTTCTGTATTTGCAAATATGTCAGTGTAAGAAAGGACACCTACAGTTATTGAGCCACATGTTTAAAACCTGTCTGGATTACTTTACAATTTGACATTTCCAGTGGTACAAACAGAACCCTCATGATACTTTGTCCTTGTAAAAGTAAAAAACATACATTGTTATTGAAACATACTTATCAGCTTGACCTTTCTGTCAAGAAGCTGAAAGCTATTGCGTGTATTTTTATGTACTGTATCTCTAGTTTTAAAGGGGGTTCGGGTAGCCCTGTGGTTAAAGCGTTCGCTCATCACGCCAAAGACAAGGGTTCGATTCCCGACATGGGTACAATGTGTGAAGGCCATTTCAGGTGTCCCCCGCCGTGATATTGCTGGAATGTTGCTAAAAGCGGCATAAAACCAAACTCACTCACATTCTAGTTTTACAATATGATGCAGTAAAACTTCTGAGTCTACTTGCCTGATTTTTGGCTACCATCACTTCATGTAGATCTTGATGTAATTGGACCATTACCAGCTGACCTAGAAGATTATGAGATATGTATTAGAAGGAAATATGTATTAGGATATATGTATTAGGATATGTGTAATAGGAGATATGCATTAGCAGCAGATGTGTATTAGGAGATATGTATTAGCAGCAGATGTGTATTAGGAGATATGTATTAGAACGTTTGACTCACATTTACTTTATGACTGCCGTACACAGGCCTCGATGACCCTGAGCTGTACGAGGAGCTGCTCGCCAACGAGAGAGAAAACTTCAAGATTTTGTATGAGAAGGTGGGATTTTATATTTTGACTGATATATAGTAATATTTCACTTTCTTGTGAAAAGGCTGTCAGATCATGTGTGTATTCCTTTCTTTTTATTTAATTTAAGCTGATCAGAGATAACTTTGTCAAGTCAAGTCTCATATAAAAGCAGACTATTTTTACGTTCGTTTGCAGGTGTCTGAGCTCGGTGGAATCCCCCTGATGCTGAAGTCTGTAGACATGTCCAACACCATCCCTGATGAGAAGGTGGTGGTCACCTATGTGTCGTACCTGTGTGGACGACTGCTGGACATCAGACAGGAGTCACGGGCAGCACGGGTCATCCAGATAGCCTGGAGGCATTACAAGCTCCGCACAGCACTCCGAGCACAACATGTAAGTCTAGACCATAGCTCCCTACAGCACTCCGAGCACAACATGTAAGTTGAGGCCCATAGCTCCGCACAGGACTTAGAGCACAACATGTAAGTTGAAGGCCATAGCTCTGCACAGAACTTAGAGCACAGCATGTAAGTTGAGGCCCATAGCTCCGCACAGGACTTAGAGCACAACATGTAAATTGAGGCCCATAGCTCCCCACAGCACTACTCCAAGCACAACATGTAAGTCTAGGCCCATAGCTCCCCACAACACTCCAAGCACAACATGTAAATTGAGGCCCATAGCTCCCCACAGCACTACTCCAAGCACAACATGTAAGTCTAGGCCCATAGCACTCCGAGCACAACATGTAAGTCTAGGCCTATAGCTCCCTACAGCACTCTGAGCACAACATGTAAGTCTAGGCCCATAGCTCCCCACAGCACTAGTTCGAGCACAACATGTAAATTGAGGCCCATAGCTCCCCACAGCACTACTTCAAGCAGAACATGTAAGTCTAGGCCTATAGCACTCCGAGCACAACATCTAATGTAATCTGTAAAGCGAAGTATCATGCATTCAGGACAAGCAGTAGATTAATGCCTGCTTTTCCTTTTTCAGCATGAGATCAAAGCAGCACAAGTTATCCAGACTCGAGTGAGAGAGTTCCTCCAGCGGAGACACACACAGAGACAGACGAGGGCAACCATCGTTGTACAGTCTGTATGGAGGGGTCGCAAGGCCAGGTCGGAGGCCCGACTGCGGAGGCTGGCACGAGACAACGCCAACATGGGAGTTGCTGTCACCAAGATTCAGGTTAGAAAATGGACCAGTGTAGAACCAGTGGTTATGGTTATATACCTTGGAACAATGGCTGCATGGTTTGAACTTTGCCATTCCCTTTTGTACCAACCTGGGCCCACTTGCACAAAGCGATCTTAGCGCTAAGATGATCGTAACTCCCATACTTTAACATAGGCTTACAATAGTTGTAGCACTAAGATCGCTTTGTGCAAGTGGGCCCAGGAGGTGATTTATCCCAAAATGATTCCTACATAGATTTGCTAAAATTGTCCCCACTATTGTAATCTGGAGAATTTGTTACATTGTATTTTTTTATGTCATGATTGCCCCATCTCTAGAACATCTCAAATCTCTGTGTATGAGTTAATAAGTGAAGTTTGTTTATGGCTTATTCAGCAATGGTCACCTATCTTACAAAAGCCTGTCAAAAAACAGAATAATCAAGTGGCTGATTGTGTGTGGAGGGGATGGGAAAGCCTAGTGGTTAAGGTGTTCACTTGTCCCACCTAGGTTTGATTCTACATATGGGTACAATGTGTCAAGCCAAGACTAAGTGATCTCCGATACTGCTGGGTTGTTGTTGAAGGAGGCATGAGTCCAGCCCTCTCTGTATATGGAGTCCCTATCATCTGAAGACACTGTACTAACAAATCTTTCTTCTTGTATGTTGCAGGCTGCAATGCTTGGGTTTGCTGCTAAACGACGATATCAACGTCTTCGTAAATCAACCTTGACCCTTCAAGCTCATATAAGAGGTCATCTGGCCAGGAGGTGTGTTTCTAAGCAACACAAAGCTGCAGGCATCATTCAGAGCAGGTTCGGAAGTTGGATGACAGCACGGAAAGATCGAGGAGTGTTCCTGGCCAAGAGGTCTGCTGCTATAACTGTACAGAGAGCGTTCAGAGCTGCTGCCAGCAGCCGTACAGCCCGAACATCAGCTGCAGCTGGCGTGGTACAGAGGGCCTGGCGAGGGTACAGCTGTCGCAAGCAGCTGGTGGATCTTAGGAGGTCTGTGCTCCTGCTGCAGGGATGTGTGAGGATGAAGAAGGTGAGGAAGGAGTATCTCCAGTTGAGGAAAACAGCAGTCACACTACAGGCGAGAGTCCGAGCCAACAAACTTTCAACCACAGCAAGACAAGACTTCCTGACTAAGAAGAAGGCAGTGACAACTCTACAGTCTCATCTCAGGGGCTACCAGCAGAGGGTGGAGTACGCTCACAACAGAAACGCTGCCATCTGCATCCAAAAACACTTCCGTGGACACAAGTATCGAGTGAAATTCCAGGCAATGAGACTAGCTGCGATAATTCTCCAGCGTGCATACCGGCTTCACAAGATGGCTGGTGATGAGCGGGAGGTGCTGCTTCGACAGACAGCTGCTTGTGTAACAGTACAGCGCTGGTGGAAGCTGCTGCAGCAGAGGAAGATGGAGAGGCGACACACAGCAGCTGCCCTCATCCAAGCTACATATAGGTGTCAGGCGGCACGACGGGAGTTCAAACGCACACAGTCAGCCGTACTGACTCTACAGACATCCTTTAGGAGGACGGCTGCCAGGGCACAGTTCCTTCGTACCAAGGCTGCAATTATCATCCTCCAACACTACACCAGGCTCCACTTGAACAAACGACAGATCCAGTCCCAGATGCAGGCCAAGAGAGATGCCGTGGTGCGGCTTCAGACATGTTGGCGGCGACTTCAAGCACAGAGACAATATGGCGCCATCAGACAAGCTGTGATGGTCATTCAGAAGAATGTACGTATGATGCAAGCTCAAATACAGTACAAGAATAAAATGGCATCCGTCTCCTGTCTACAGCGTCATGCCCGAGGATACCTACAGAGGAAAGCCTTTTTGTCTGACGTAGCCCATCGGACGTCTGCTGCTGTGAGGGTTCAGTCGTGGTGGAGGATGTTGGTGAGTCGACAAAGGTTTGTCTCACTGAGGCAGAGTGTAGTTGTCATTCAGGCCTGGGTCCGAGGCTGGCATCAGAGGAAGGACTTGATGCGTCAGAGGAAGGCAGCTCTTGTCATCCAGAGCTTCTACAGAGCTACTAGAGCTACTAGGGAGGCGAGAACAAGGTATCAGGTGATGATTGGTGCTGCTATGGCCATCCAGAGTGGCTGGAGAAGCTATGTCATCAAGAAACAGTTCTCGATCATGAGGAGGTCTGCTGTGAAGATTCAGAGCAAGGTTAGAATGGTGCTGGCCATGAAGAGGTACCACAACCTGAAACATGCCTGTGTTTTGCTGCAGAGACGTTACAGGGCAAATAAGATGGGTCAGTGTGTCAAGCAAGAGTTTGTCCAAACTAAATCTGCCGTTGTGACACTGCAGGCGGCATTTAGGGGGCAGAGATGTCGCAAGCAGTATCAGAAAACAAAAATGGCTGCTGTGAAGATTCAAAGCCATGTTAGAATGGTACGTGCCATGAAGAAGTACCACAACATTAGAAATGCCTGTGTTTTACTGCAGAGACTTTACAGGACACATAAGGTGGGCCAGTGTGTCAGGCAAGAGTTTATCCAAACTAAATCTGCCGTTGTGACACTCCAGGCGACATTTAGGGGGCAGAGATGTCGCAAGCAGTATCAGAAAACAAAAATGGCTGCTGTCAAGATTCAAAGCTGGGTTCGAATGATTCATGCCATGAAGAAGTACCACACCTTTAGAAATGCTTGTATCGTGCTACAGGATCATTACAGGGCGTACAAGAAGGGTCTGTGTGTGCGGAAGGCGTACCAGAATACCAGATGTGCCGTTGTGACACTGCAGGCAGCATTTAGGGGGCAGAGATGTTGCAGGCAGTATCAGAAAACAAAAATGGCTGCTGTCAAGATTCAGTCATGTGTTCGGATGTATCAAGACAGATGTAAATATAGACAAATCGTCCAAGCCGCCTGCGTCCTTCAGCGGAGATTGAGAGCTCTAAGAGCTGGTCAGCTCGACAGGAGAGTGTATGTAACCAACAGGAATAATGTGATCAAGCTGCAGGCTGCCGTGAGGGCGTGGATATGTCACAGGGCATTCCAAAAGACCAGACAGGCAGCCGTCACCATTCAGAAACATGTGAGGATGCACCAGCAGAGGATGAGATACAGGCAGCTGCAGCAGCATGTCAAGATGGACAGGGCTGCTGTAGTCCTGCAGAACAGATGGAGGATGCTGGTGGAGAGGAGGCGGTTCACGACGATGAGAGCAGCGTGTATCTGTGTGCAGCAGCAGTACAGAGCTGTGCTGTCCGGCAGGCAGCAGAGACAGAACTATGTACACATTAAACAAGCAGTGGTCACCTTACAAACTGCTTACAGAGCTGCTGTTTGTAGGAGAGATGCTAGGAGGGAACTATCTGCGTTACTTATTCAGAGTCACGTTCGCAAACATTTGATCAGATCAAAGTTTTTGTGTATGAAGAAATCGGCAATTAAATTGCAAGCATGTGTGAGGATGATAAGAGAGAGGAAGTTTTACAGGGAGCGGAAACAAGCTGTTTGTCATATTCAGCAGTGGTACAGAAGTATCAAATGTGGTCAGGGGTCTCGGAGAGCGTTCCTCATCATGAAGGGAGCAGCCATGACAATACAAGCTGTATGGAGGGGATACATTGTCCGATGTCGGTTGGCACTCTACCAGAAGAGTGCCACTCTCATACAAGCTGGCTTCCGTTCACACCAACAGCAGAAGCAATATCGCAAACTTCGGGCCACAGTCGTCAGCTTACAGAAGCTCTACAGAAACAACAAGGCAGCCGGGTTGGAAAGACAGAGGTTTGTCCAACAGAAATCTGCGTCTGTCGTCATTCAGAAAATGGTGAAAATGTTCCTAGTAAGGAGGCGGTTCCTGCAGCAGAAGTCCGCAGCTCTGACTATTCAGAGGGCGTATCAGTGTTATAAGGAGAGGTCAGCCTTCATCCAGCAGCGAGAAGCAGCGAAGGTCATTCAGGATAAGTGGAGGTCGACCTTATCCGCCCGGGTCCAGCGCAAGCAGTACCTGATCCTGGTAGGAGCGGCCATCACCATTCAGCAGGGATACAGGAGTTACCAGATTAGGCAGGACTTCCTTCACACACGCTGTCAAATCATCCGAGTCCAGGCTTGCGTCAGAGCATTCCTCCACAGGAAGAGGCATCAGCGTTTACAGCAAGCTGCTCGCACGATACAAGTCCTGTGTCGAAGAAGATGTCAAACACGGAAACAAAGGAAAGAGTTTTTGCAGATGAGGTCGTCGGTTAGCGTGCTACAGTCTGCCTACAGACAATGGAAGCACAGACAGGTTGGAAAAAGACACATCGCAGCCACTACTATACAGTCCGTGTTCAGGATGCTTGTCGTGAAGAAACAGTTCTGTTTGACCAGACAGAGAGTCGTCCTTGTCCAGGCGGTTATCCGAGGGTTCCTGGCGAGGTGTGCCTACTGCCACAAGCTGCAAGCTATTTCTGTCATACAAAGAAACGCACGGAGATTCCTACTGTTTAAGGGTCTGCGTCGGGTGGTCGCTCGACGGAGACGTGCTGTCGGTGTGATTCAGAGATCGTACAGGAAGTACAGGCACACTCTAGAACTGAAGAGACAAAAATCGGCAACACTGATTCAGAGAGCGTACAAGAGGCATAGGCACTCTCTAGAACTGAAGAGACAAAGATCTGCAACAATAATTCAGTCCACATTCCGAATGCATTGTATACGTAAGACTTTCCGACAGACCTGTCAGGCAGCCATCTTGATTGAGAGCAGTTGGCGAGGCTACATGGTGAGACGGACCTTCAGAAAGACACTACAGAAGCATCGTGCAGCAGTGTGTCTTCAGAGAAGTTACCGTGGTTACAAGGCTAGAGTTCATCTTCAGGTGAGTAACACTCATTTGCTATGCCTTCTCTCCATGTTCACATTCAAAACACATTTGTCAGTTACAAACCCAGATGAGATATTTTTCTAAGGACAAAGGTCGGTATGAATTTGATTGCAATGAAATAGAATTTGTTTTTTTGAAACTATTTCATTTGGCCTGAAATGAACTGGGGAATAAATTATTTTGCTTCACTTTTGAAAAATTTAACTAATTTATTACACACCCATTTTACAACAAGACACCTTTATTAATTACATAATGTGAGCTACCCGTGAAGATTCCAGGGTAGAATAGGTCTTCAGCAACCCATTCTTGCCGTAAAAGGTGACTATGCTTGTCGTAAAAGGTGACTAACGGGATCGGTTGGTCAGGCTCGCTGGCTTGGTTGATGCATGTCATCAATCCCAATTCGATGCTCATGATATTAATCACTGGATTGTCTGGTCCACTCAATTATTTACAGACTGCCGTCATATAGCTGGAATATTGCTGAGTGCGGCGTTAAACAACAAACAATAACAACAACATCATCCGAGGACTGGACTATTTTTGGCATCTGCTGGCCTTTCAAATGGGAGCATCAGTAGCACTGCAAGATCGACTCTCTTCCCAAATGTATAATCCAGAAGATAGACACTACTATCAGGACTATTTTCCACAAAACACCAGAGCTGCAGAGACACACTATGTCTGCAGCTCAAAACTGTATTATTATTGACATTTTACTTGAATGTCAATTCTGTGAGTTTTGCAGCTGCCTATGATCTATCAGACTCACAAACAAATACTTTTGAAATAGGGAGAGTATGCACACTCACACTTTACATTATATTATAGCTGAAATGGATAGAATTATCATTAAACTGCCCGCATGTTATCAGAAATGAGCTGTAACTTGATAATGCCCTCATATTGCTTGACGACGGGCCATTATCACGCCCGTTGTTAGGTGACATCATAGGATAGGGATAGGTGACGTCACGTTGAATAGTGACGTCATCTGGTTTGTTCTATGACTTTTCCATATTTGTAAAAGTAGGTCAGTGACATTCGTGTTGATTGCAGTAAATGCTTCAAAACCGATATTGCTGTTTCTTTTTATTTGATAACAATTCCATCCATTTTAGCTATAATAACGGTAACACTTTTTTTCAGGGCATTATCATTTGCAGAAGCCCTCGGTCTTTTCAAATGCCCTCCTTCGTCAGGAAGTTAAAAGAAGACCTCGGGCTTCTGCAAATGATAATGCCCTGAAAAATAGCGTTACCCTTATAGCAGTGCAAGCATCATGACAATTATCAAGGTTCAGAGTAACACTAATAAACAGAGTATTAAGTCGAAAGATCACAACATGCTTCGCCTTGTCTTCTTACGACCTTAAACTTTGTATTGTAAATGAGAGTAGCGCCCCTTGGACCAAGTGGACATTAAATAGTAATGTTGCCCTCGTGTCAACACATGCAATCTTGTGTTTTTCATTTTCCGAAATTGAACGGATGGTGCAGTCTAACGGTAATTACAACACATATCATAACATTTAAACCATCTGCTGACTCATGAAATCACATAGCCAACATCTTCACGATATGGCTGAAATATTGCAGATGTGATGTTAAATATTAACTCGCTCACATAGCCAACATGACATGACTTGATGAATCAATGGTCTCATGGGCTCCCCTCACCTTCACTGAACCAAGTTTGAAGCTAGGTTTTCCATTGAATGCAGATGTTTCTACTTGGTGTGTATATAAAGGCTATTATCAACATGGTTTTAGAATCTGCGCCTTATTGTTTCCTAAATCATCTCCGAGAAAGCTGTGCACTTTTTGACCAGGTTGTACTTTGAGAGAACACTCTTCCGTCGAATCATCAGATACAAATATTGTATTTATATGACACCCTTTTACCAACATCTTTTATCGACATGGAACTTTGATAATTGCAAAGTTTAAGAGAGTAATAAAAACATGACTACATTCATCCCTGTTACATATCATTTTTATTGCAACTCGTGTATTTCAAAAGTAATTAAAATAGATTTATTCAGTAAGCTTTTTCAGTTAAGTTTATGAACTGTCTGTATGAAGTGAACTTGCAATTCCAGGATGTAACATTCCAGACCATCCTCGTCATCTTTGACTCTGAATAAATAGTTAGATAAAACTGAAAGGCTATGAGGAATTACAGACTAACTGTGAATTAATTTTGTAGGTTCCTGCCATTCAGCATTAAAACACATAAAACATGATGCGTAATTCCGAGTTGCAAGCAGCCACTTTTTATCTTAGAAAATGTGGAGAAATATGGGTTTCCTAATCTCAAGTAGGAGATGAGCTCAGCTGATCCGTTGTTGGAATCATGTCACATCCTATCGATTGTGACATGAACAATGGATGATGTCGTCTTCATTTTGATTATATTCATGTTGATATCATCAGGGTAACAGGAGAGCTGTATAAGACAGTAGTGGTAGAAATGTGTGTTTGTCCCCTGCACTCACAAAGATGTTTTGGTGTGACCTATTGGAGTAAAGTGTGCCAGCATGAATGCTTTTCAATAAAAGATTCCAATATTTGCAGTATTTTCAGTTTGCAATGGATTTGATTCTTGCAGTCAATTTTGTGTTAGACTCATTGTCACAAATTGGTTGTGAATCTAGGAATTATAAGTCATTCACCACACAGTTACACTGGATGACTGGTTGTCACTTGAAGAAGTTGACTAAGACAGATATGGTGAATGTGCTAACTTGATGAGTACTATCTACGTTAGATGAGCTATATAATGTAAAGCTGTAGTTCAGAAAATGTCCCCACTTTTCATTGATGGATAAGAGCCTCATCAAGTTCTGAATCCCCAGATTTAGTATCTGAAGCTTTCTCTTCATTGGGTGTGTTCTGTTTCAATGTGTCTGTCTACTCTATGTGCACAAACAAACATTGACGCTGAAGATCCGGGTCAGAATAGGTCTTCAGTTACCCATTATTGCTGTAAAAGGCGACTATGCTTGTCGTAAGAGGCAGCTAATGGGATCAGGTGGTCAGGCTGGCTGACTTGGTTTATGCATGTCATCATATCCCAAGTGCGTGGATCGATGCTCATGATGTCAATCACAGGATTGTCTGGTCGAGACTCGATTATTTTCAGAGTGCTGTCATATAGTTGCAATATTGCTAAGTGCAGCTTTAAGCAACAAACAAACAGAAAACAAACAAACATTAGTCCCAGGCTTCGTGTTATAAACATCATGCCAAGGCAATATTATTAAAGTCATTATTTGCACATGCAAGTTATTGTAACTACCATTGCTAGTCTTAACCAGTATTTACTTCAACAACACTCCTGTAGAATAGACATCCTGCTTGTCACGTTGAGTCCAGCTGTCTGTTGTTGAGAAAGCGAACAATGTCTCGTGAACTACATTGTTAAATCTGTGCTCTCGTCAACTCGACATCAACTTGACATCAACTTGACATCAGAAGACAAGGCAATCTTTTAAATCCATGACCCAAATCCAACTGCAAGTTCAACCAAAATGTGCCCCAGATTGTAGTTTATCTCGAATTAAGGGATTTATCTAGGATTTCAACCTAAGTGCCCTTGGCAAGCAAATTGGGAAAAAGTTGCTTTTTGTTCAAAAATTGAAAGTTTTATTTTCCTAAATTCAGGGGTATTTTAAAATTAAATTTTAACATTGCATTCAATGCATTATGTTTAACTAAGAATTAAGGCCTCTTCCTTTATAATGTTCCTGTTATCAATGAATCACAAGACACCTTTAAAAGCCATAACATTGGTTATATAGCTGTAACAGCATAAACTGGGAAATGTTTAATTCCAATTTGGGAATTATAAGTAACAATTGCTCCAGACTTGGGGCCGAATATCGGCCTCTGAGCAGGTCTAGATGCATCCCTGGGATTTCCCAACATGTCAAATAGTGCTCTTGACATAATGAAATATTATTTTGTTTGAAAGTGGGAAAATTCTTATTTCGGTACATTCAGAAGTTTTATTAGTTATGAGTGGAATATAGTCACCTCAATTAAGCCATTACATTTGGTATGACTGTAATATTAACATGAATTGGGGGAAAGTATTTCCAATTTTGTAATTTTTACTGACATTTGCTGCAGACTTGGATAAACAACCCCTGTTACATCACAGGAACAAAAACATGCTTTGTTGATTGCATCTGGAACCTTTGGCAAAGCTAGAAACCTCAGGTTATCTAAACAGAGAAGTGATTCCCTAAACTATACTCTCTCCAAGATCTAAGATCAAACTATCAATCATTAGGCACTGCTTTCTGAGGACAAAGAGTGACAAATCCCTGCACGGGGACCTGCTTTGATGATTGTAAAGATAACACCACTTGTGATAATCATCCTGCTGCTCTCCCGCAGCTATAGAGCCTGGTCAGTGAAGCGTGGTGGGTTATGTCACCAGTAAATACCTGTTGCTGAGTGAATAATCACCCACTTTGAAGTCTTCACAATCGGGGATTTACTTGTTTTGTTAGTCCTCCGCCCCCAAGGTTGAAAAGTGAGGTACATCGTTCTAATCTGTTAACACCAATATGGTTTTATTACCCCCAGTATGGAAAGAAAGACTGGGTTGCCTGATGGGGATAGATACAAAAATGCTTACTTCAAAGACAAATCAAGACATTGTGATGGTGGTTTTATTACCCTGTTTTGAACTGCAGATCTCGCCCAAACGGCCTATAGCATTAGGTAAAAATGTAATTAGAGGTTAAGTCAAAAAGTGTTTAACGATTATGCCTTCTGTTTTTCATTAGTTGGTTTAAAAAATAGTTGGCCTAAACTTCAATGTAGATAGTCGGGGGTGGGGAGGGCATCAACTTCCAGATTAGTGCTGCTTCTAATGCATAAAAAACAACAAGTTTTAACAGTGACAAATATTGAAAGATAATTGATTGATTTTTTTCACTGTCAGCAGTAGTGATAAAATCTTGTTTTTGTTGGTCAGTCTTGATAACCAACTAAAAGCATATATGGCCTTATAAGCATAGATTTCATTGGGAATAGCTACCTAATTTCTACTGCTAATATAAAGACTCTTAAGCTAAAACTATTTTGTAGTAAATGGTTGCAATATGCATACTTTTAATTGAACACAGTTCATTATTTTTGTTCTTAATTTTTCATTTGAAGAGTTAGTCTTATCTAAAATACTTTTTTAAGTGCTGACAGATAATTAGGTTGTCATTAACTGAGTTTTATGTCAGCCACATCTCACAAGAATGTTGGCCCAAGTAGTCTGGTAATGAAAGTTACTGCTCGAGATCTCTGACTTCATCTCGTCCTATTGGTTACTTTCCTCGCAACCAAACATTGTTGATGTGTAAAACATCAATCAATCAACCAACCAACCAATCAATAATCAATCAATCAACCATTCAATCAATCAATCACTATAACCATAATCGTGTTTGTCAGAACAAGACCACAAGTTTAGAAGCTTGCCACTTTCAGTGCTTGTTCTAGTGAACTGGAGGGGTTGAATGTTATATGGTCTTAGTAGCAGGGTTATTAACATGGATGATGAGATCAGTTATAATAACAAATCTATGGTTTAGATGGGCTTTTTTATGAAGTTTAAATACATAAAGTATAGGCTTCTTTTACAGATAATAATCTTCTTGCCCAGGGATTTATCGAGACTTGCTCAGAGGTCAGATTTCAGCCCCAAGCCTGTCAGAAGAAATATCTAAATTGGAATAAAGACCTGCCCACTTCATGTTGATATATACTACTCAAAAGAAGTTAAGGATCACCCGATTCTTTCATATTGGTAATGTTAATCTGTCATGGCATGAGAGATTAACTATTGTAATATAAAAGAATCAGGTGATCCTTAACTTCTTAGTAGTATAGTTGTATGTAATGTGTCGACTTTCCCTGATACCTTGGCCAATAGAAGGTTTAATGGTGTGTTTTACAGTATTGAATGTAATGTTATCAAATATTAAAAGACCTGAATTTAACATGAAGAACTTAAAAAATCTAATTTTGACCAAAATATATTTCTTTTCTTAATTTCCTTGTCAAAGGCACTTAGTTTGGAATCCCATATAAATCCCTGATTCAATTTTAACTTCAAAATTGTTTCAATTTTGTCAATTAGTTGTTGGAATGTATGATTTTGGAAATATCTCTGAAAGCAAGACATGGAATTCTATGCTTTCAGTCTGTTTGATACAAACAAATGAAATAAAGCAAGCAGACCGATCTCACCTCATTAGATCCATTGAAAAATAAAATAAAATAATAAATCAATGCATGTATTATAAAACGACTAAAAAATACAGCGTGGTAAATATGATGAGCCCCCCTGTGCAGAGTTACGAGAGACTATCACAGATACATACACTAAAGACATCTACAAAATGATAAAGATTACACTAAAATCTATTACATATAAAACATATTGGGCAGACAGTAAAAGTACAAGCAAGCCTCTATGGAAGTGCCAGGTCTGCTGAAGCAGAGGACAAGTGGAGTGTCAGCTTGGCCCAGCTGCCCAGGGAGACATGCTAATTGGCTGGTGTTGTACAAACTCTCCAAGTGTGGCACCTTCACTGTGTCCTGTGTCAAGACTCTCTGTTAACATCACAGCTCCATGTTGTCACAAGCATGTCAATGACATAATCATCACATGGTTTTGTTCTGTGATTTTTAGTACTTGTTTACAGACACTACAGTCCTACAATTTCTGAAAATATAACGAAAAATATGTATGCAGGTTGTTGTTTTCTAAAAATGGCAATAAGTTTTTTGTTTTTTTTAGAATTAATGTTGAACTTTTGTATAAGCATGTTGCTGTTTTGGAAAGGGAAATCACATCTATGTCAACACTTAAAACAGTTTTCAATTCCTAGTCCTACCTCCTGCTATGATGACAAAGAAATCTGTAAAACGAGAAATATTACTGTTGTGGCCTAGGTATCTATTTTACCCATTAGTCTTACATAATACCAGAAGAAAAATAAGACAAAAATAATAAAATTGCAAATTCACTTGCCAAGCTTTTTTAGACCTTCTCACCCAGAAGCCAATATTCAGACACAAGTCTGCAGCAAATGTTGGTAAAATTCCCATATTTGAAATAAGGTATCCATATAAAGTGATCATAAATTTTAACTAAGTCTGTTACAGTTTGCATGTCAGTTAGATTGACACGATTGCACTGAATGCAAGAATTTTGATTTTTTTAAGTTCCAATTTACAACAGGCACTTGGTACAAAATCCTCGATAAATCTCTGCCAGGTTTGTTTTGGTTAGACCTTACACTCTAATTCCCCCTAAGTCAATGGTGCACACTTGTGTCTTTGAGTAGTGTGCTAGTGCTGTTCAAGCATGTCAGATTATATCACTGTACATGGCTATAGAAATAATGTGATTCTTGGAGGAGGTCACACCAGGGGACACCAAGTTGTTCAGCCTCATCGCCATCCCTGCTGATAAAGAAGGGAGGGTTTGGATTACACCGTGAGTGATTGTGTTGAGTAATCTCCTTATGTCCAGGTGGGAATTGTTAATTGAAGCGCGCTGCATAGACTTCCAACAACATCCACTGATTGACATCAACAATGCACTCTGACATGGCTCATGTAGTTTTGTAATTGTATCCCTGTGTACACAATTCTCATTACTAATTCCTTAGCTGAAAAATCTTAACAAGAATCATGATTATAATAAAAATAAAGATTGTGTGAAGTCACAACTTTTTTCATAACTGTTTTCTTTTTAAGACATTTAAATAAGGCAAGTTAAATTTTTATAATCTTTCATGGTCAAAAGGTTTATACGCAGATAGCCCAAGAAAATACAAAATAATGGAGTAATTATGTTAATTGCGAAGTAAAAAGGAAATTATTGCAAATAAATGTAAGATCATCTTTGGCAATATTTTATATCGTTCTGAGTTTATTCGGAAACAAAGGCTGTTGAGTCTTGTTTCAATCAAACACATCACTTGATTCTGCGGTTCATCAATAAATATAACACATCCAACAGTTTCAGCCTCAGATTCAATTGTATAGTTTTCATATATACTACTCAAAAGACATTACAGAACACCCTATTCAATCCCTTTTCCCAGGGTTAATCTGTCATGCCATTTTGTACTGCAGTAAATATGAAAGAATACAGTGTTCAAAACCGCGAATAAATAAGTCTTGTGTTCATTGATCAATCGGAAGCGGTGCTAATTGGGATTGTTCACTAACCAATATATTGGCAAATACCACCGTGGGTGCTTATTACATTGAATATGGTAATTCAATAAATTAATTTCAAACCAAGATTTGAATCAGTTCAAACTTCTGTGATTAATGTGATTACAGCTTCAAGATATAGAGTATAGTCTCTGCAGAATTCGTGTCAAGGCAACTACGAATAAATCCTTGAAAATTCTTCCCATATTCTAGACTTCTTAATGGCTTGTGATTATTGGCAGTGATACAAGACATTACACAGTCGGTAGAGTTCAGTATCTAATTAGGAATGTCCCAAGTCCAGTTCCTGAAGTAATTGCGACATTTACGACATTGGCATCCCTAATAAGGCAATTATGACACAATTCCAAGACACTTCCACCCATGATCTATATGTGATGTTGCTATTTACTGCTCTGTAATTATTGAATTAGCACACATCGCCTCATTAACATGACTAGAAACAATCCAGACATGTTCGTTTATTTTGACGAGTTCTGTCACATCCATGTTGAACAAAGTTCTGCCAGACATCATGTTCACTCAGGGGCCAGCCACTGAGAGAGCTATCCTACTGATGCCCAGCCCCTCTAATGGTAATTACTGACCCCCCAGGGCTGTCCTTGCCCCCAGGCGGATTGGGCCTTTGTAGAGTCCAGTGTCTTACACTCAGTGAGGGTGAAAGGAAGGGAGTTCTATCACAACACAATTGGTGCAAAGCAAAACAAGACTTCAAGAGGAGGGGGGCCTTTGTTTCAGGGCTGGACTGAGATGCTTGGGTGGATTCGGGTGTCGTTAAAATTAATCTCTATTGTTGAGGGTTGCGTTTGTGTAAGAGCGTGTACATGATCTGTGCCGTTCTATCTTCTACTTAAAGGCAAGGGATGGAGGGAGAGCTATCATATTCTCCTTAGACTGTTCCAAGGGGATACACACAGCACACCTGTTGAACATCGACCAGGTGTTAGACACTGATGGTAGCAGGGCATGTAAGACTCGCATCAGTCATCCTCCAACACCTTCCCGTTGCTGGGCTTTAGAGTTGGTGCTCCAATTAGGCTGCACAAATAAGAGTAGAAAGCTGTTGGCCAAGTGGGTGGTCATTAGTTGCAGATAATCTTCATTGGTGGTTTGACGCTCGACCAGACTGTTGAGTCGTGTCGACTCAAGTGCTTGTGACTCTCCCAGATTGTTGAGTTTGGCAGTCAAGCCTCAAAGAGGATATCATCCTTAGTGCTTGGAACATTTATTTATTTATTTCAAGTAGTGTACTATCTACATTGACAATGACACTGCTATACAGCCAGTGTTTGGTCGAGGACCCGACTGACCTCCCAGGCGGATGCTGTTTCTTCCCAGGAATATTGCTGAAAAGATTCCATGTTTATTTCATAAAGAAGCTACAAGCGGAACGGAAAGCTCAGCTGGAGATGTACGCCCAACGCGCCCGAGTCCATCTTGCGGCTGTCAGGATACAGACATGGTACAGACAGTGCTTGATGCTGCGTCAGGCACGACAGAGGATAGCAAGCGTCGTCTGCATACAGGTGAGTGTAGCACTTGCATAGCAACCGGAATCACAAGATTTGTTGGCCAGTAGCATGATTTGACAGTTTTTAATACACACTGGCAGTCTCTGGTAACTTTTGCTAAGTCATGTTGAAGGGAAAAGACTAGCCCTTACTTTTTACGTTTGCTTTCATGGAAGTTACTGTAGTCTTCTGATCGGGGTTGTAAAATAAATCTAAAGCCAGACCAAACTAATTACTTCTTTGAGAAATCACTCCTTTTGTGTCTTGTGAGCTCAAGGCGAAAGGATAGCGCTTTTCCCCCCGGGTTGATGTGTATTCTGAGAGGGAATACATGTTGGGGTAAATTGATTTTTAGGTGATTATTTCCTTCACCCAGTATTTCCGAAGTAACAGCCTTAAAATATGTGTCTGGTCTCAAGGAATCTGCTGCAGCTTTTTCACTTGCTCTTCTTGATCAGACCAACCAATGTGAGTGTCACTGGTGCACTGCTGGAATTACAGATATATAATATAATGGATGGCAGAACCTCACCGAACACATTGTCACACAATTTTAGTTCTGTTATTGTCTGGCATATTATACCACACACCAAGCAAAGATTCACATGGTTTTCTTTAAAGGGTTTTGTTTCTAGATATCTTGAGTGAAACATGCATCAGGTGCTGTGTGTAATATGTTTTAAGATTATGACCTACAAAAGTAATACCGTAATACTGATACTTTATGAACTTTTTAAAATCTACACATTGGATAACAGCCTGAGAATGTTCTGGTAGTGGAGTTATGTTGGTCAGTTGTATTATGCCTGTGTCAGCAGCATCTTAATCTTTATCTCAACTTAAACAAGATGACTTTCATCATAGGACTCTAGAGTGAGATGCGCATGGCGCATGGTGACTGACTAACTGTAGTAATGTGAAAGAATAGTAGACATGATGGACTAGTTGCTTTGACGGGCTCACCAGCCATCAGGGGTCCTGTCACACCCTCACACTTGGGTGTCAGTAGGCAGGGGTGCCAGGCTTGGATCTCGTTAAGCTCCATACAGCAGTGGGTAGATAATGTTACCACAAAGGTCATTCATTGATCAGGTTAAGAGATCACTAGGTCATTTTATCAACCATTGGTTAAAGCTATTAACACTCATTGTAACAAATAGGTAAACAATGTCAGTATGACAAGATAGTACTGTAATGTTATATCCCCAGATAGAGGTCTAGATTTTCCTCAGGCCTGAATCTCCCAATCACTGGGTCTCCTTTCCAGTTTATATGGAGATGATTTTTTTCTATCAAAACAATTTATTTCAGACCAAGTTAGCATGGTCTAGTTGTCAAGGAAAGGTGTTCAGACATTACATGTGTATGTTGCAAATGAAGCATGGGTTTACAGTCTTTGAAGCTCTCATAAAATCTATGGATTTTAGTGTGGTGTCCACCACAGACATATACTAGTAGATCACTGACTGTTGATCACATGCATTTTGTTCAAGAGACTGTCTTGCTAATCAGGGATACCCTCCCGCATGTTTGCAGCGTCGGGTACGAGCATTCTTGGTACGCCTGCACTACGTGAAGCTTCACGAGAGTACCGTGCTGCTGCAGCGGCGGTGTCGTCAGTGGTTGGCGTCGCGGCAGAGGTCAGCAGTGGTCATCCAGAGGGCAGTGCGTCACTGGCTTGTTAGACAGAGACAACACCAACTCCACAGACAGGTGGCCAGAATACAGGTCAGTCTCTTGATGCAATGCAACAGTACTGGTGGGGGTGGGTGCATGGACTGGCAGAGGAGTGGGAGGAAGCCATATACAGGTCAGTGTCTTGATGCAATGCAACAGTACTGATGGGGGGGGGAGGGTTGCAGCTGTGGGGGTGGGTGGACTGGCAGAGGAGTGGGAGGAAGCCATATACAGGTAGGTATGGGGGTGGGGGTGGGGGGGAGTGACACAGGTGAACTATGTGTGTGGTGGCGATAAGGCTAGCACATGTTTTGTTGGTTCCATTTCCAATTCGAAATGTGATAAGTGTAGAACGATTCATTTATGATTTTTTAAAAATTGCATGTGAGTATTTTAGCAATTCTGAATGTTGATCGTTGTGTTGAAGTGAAATTCAAACAATGACATGACAACAATAACAGTTGTATGTCAAATGATTTGACTTAAAATGAAGACCCTTTTGTCCATACTGAAATACATCACTGGCTGAATATTGATGATTGATGATGTAATTTTTCACAACGAAAAAGTAATTGTTATAATAATTGATTATATTGATTTGATAACCACACCAGAAGAGTGAAGCCAATCAATCAGTCACTGATAATAGACCATCATCTACACAACCATCAAGGTGTGTGACAACCCTGCTTATTAACTAACTTCCACAAGTGTGTTGACTGTTGTGTGCCTGTTGCTAGGCTGTGTGGCGAGGGTATCGGGCCAGAAAGAGCATCACTTGTAAGAAGATCCGGCGAGCAAGGGCCCGGTGTCATGAAGCCAGTCAGAATGCTACCGAGGACAAGAAGCTGGGGAACCGCACAACGTCCGCCCTGGACTACCTGCTGGAGTACAAGAGTCTGTCTCACATCCTGGAAGCCCTCATGCATCTCGGTACGTGGCTGTGCTTCTGGTTCTTACAGGCAGTTAGTGGGGGAATGACAGGATAGGATTAGCTCAGTTAGACATGGGGGAAGCATCTGTAAGGCTTTCAGGAATTTCATGAATAGAAACAGACCCAGGATAGTTCTGTTCTTCAGAGATCTCTCTACTCACATCTATCCAGGACTGCTGTTTTTGAGTTCAGAGTACTACAGCTCATGGAAATGGGGTCCCAGGCTGGTGATCTGTGCACCCTTCATTTGATTTCCAAGAATATTTTTGATGATCAGTAAGCGTGACATGGTATTTCAGTTTTACATTGAAGTAAATCAACCTTCACATCCTGAACTGTGACTGCTTCAGAATAGAATTGTCAGTTATGTCTACAGTGTTGAACAACGTGATGATTGAAACAGCCATACATTTTCTGATCCCACAGGACAAATATTAATTAATTGCTCCAATTTTCAATCTGTATTAATTAATAATTTGTATATTGGAAACAGTTTGTAGCATTTGTAAAATATCCAAAACTAGTTCATATTCTTAATTTATCTGAATGTGTATGGTATTATATTTGATTTATCTGATATGTAGATATCGTTGACATGTATTTAATATGCCAACTGCAGCCTGATTCCCAGATCGTGACTAGATTCCACTTTCACTCACCTCCTCCTGCTCCTTCAGATGTAGCTACTCGACTGTCCCCGCGATGTTGCCAGCGTCTCGTGGAGGTGCACGCCGTCCATGTCATCTACCGCCTCATCCGCAGCTGCAACCGCAGCCTGCCACACATGGAGCTGATAAAGTACTCCGTCAACATCCTCCTCAACCTGGCCAAGGTAAAATATTAACTCTTTTGTTTAATAATATTGGGAAAGTAAAAAGGAAACATTTTAAAAGTGATGTCTTAATCATTTTTAAAAAAGGTGTCAGTTAGGGCTAAATGAAAATAATATTTTAATTCTGTTTTGATGAGGAAAGGGGTCAGCGTCTCAACTCAACTGGGAGAAAGAAAGACTTCTATTGTGTTTGCAAGCATAACTGACATACTTGCACATGAATTCCCAACTGTTTGGTATCTCCCCTTTATTCATTGATCCACTGGGTTGTAACTTCTCCTATACATGTACCCCCTGATCATGTAGCCCATTATTCAAAATATTTTTTTAAATCTAATCTGGAGTTGAAAAGAGAACCTGGCAATAATTGCTCTCCTGCCCTTTGATATACAGTTGATATACAACCCGTAACAGGAACAAAGGGTCATTCCTCGAAATTCAAGAGAGCAGCGAGATTTGTCAATTATATTTACGAGCATGTAGGAGTTAAATTAATGTCCTTGTTTTCTTCTCCTGTGCAAATTTAAGTCAGGTTCATCCAAAACGTATTCCAGCTATATGACGGCGGTCTGACTGACATCATGCACATCTTTTATAGAATGCACCATGTTATCTCTTTCCTCTCCCCCCCCAGTCTTTATCATCATCATCATAGTTAAAAACAATAATAATAATATATACATGTACCAGGATCACCCAAACCCTCTTTGCTACATTTTTTATTTTATCTGTTGATGCTAATAATCATAATTATTATGATAATTATTTTATTATTAGGCTATTTATATATTGTTTTTCCACAACACACAGGAGCATGCCCAAAGGGCACAGTTTATTACACAATGACTAAGATTTGTCATGCAAACAATCTGTACACCATCTGTTATTTAAAATATTTTTCAGTTATTTCATTCATTGTATCTCACTTGTGTTTTGTGTCAACCAGGAGGATAACTCCATCTGTAATGTCCAAACATGCCACCAAAACAGATTTTAGAAAGAAAACAAAACAGGATCTTGTTAAACACACTTAGTATAAAGTATCAGAGGTATATTGAACCAGGAAGCTGTTGAGAGCCAATTGCACCTGGCCAAGTCATCGTGCTTACTTCAGCAGTGTCTAGTACTGCCTACTGTAGGCACTCGATGAGGAGTAGACATCATCGTGACAAGTCTTCCTCACAAGGAGATACTCAGAGGGCACTTGACTGATTGTTCTTCCGGCTGCTTGTTTCCTCAAGGCTGTGTTCTATCTGAAGGTTCCCCTTGACTAGCTTTTATATCAGTCTAGTGGGGATTTCCAAGGACAGCGCCTACATAAAATGATACCACAAACTCCAGTATCAGTCGCTTCACCTTATAATCATGGGAATCCATTGGTCTTCACCCACATAACCAGTTTAGTACTATTTCCAATGTGTGTTGCTTGTCAAAGTTGTTTATTCCTCCCTTCATGTCTTTTAACTCATACACAAATTTATTTACCTCCTCCATGGTCTAGTAGAGTGTGCCAAGAGAGTGGAAGGTTGGCTGTGTCATACAAAAATACATTTAAAGATGGTACTTGTTGTTACCCTGCCTGCATGGAGTCAATGTGATGTGTCCATATTGAACTGTGGCACATGGTGTCTCTGTGGGCTAGCATAGAAAACTGGCATTGGTCTGGACTAGTACAAGCAGCCACACTCACGCAAAACACTACACGCACGCACGCACGCACGCACGCACGCACGCACAACATGAATCATGATTTACAAAAGACATTGTCAGAACTGAGAAGTGATAACATTTGCTTTCTTAGACCATGTTATGATGTCATGGAAAATTTTGCTGTTCCTTGAAGGACAATTGTCTGACATTATCAGCTACTTGGGACAGGTAATTGTTGGGGACAGGTAATTGTTGGGGGTCCTCTGCCTCGCAGGTGGGACCATATTGTCAACTGTGATCTACTTGACACTGGGAGGCTGGTGACAGTGGCGCACTCTACTCTACTTTCAAGAACTTGATTGCATAACACTGCCTATAGAATTGTTACATAGATGGGCTGAAGAAGTCATTGCCTGAACCTGTCAATTTCTCATTACTAAGGCAGCGTTAGTTAAATGGAATATTCATGCTACAACTAAACAGACATACTGTTTATACCCAGTGCTTATTATTTGCATCCTACTCAATACTGCAATATTTAGCAGCCTGTCAAAGTGAGTGTTATACGACTGCTCTCCTGTTTCAGTATGACAAGACTGTGAATGCCGTCCATGACGTTGAATCAACTGACATCCTCGTGGACCTAATGCAAATCTATCGAGAGAAAGGCAGCGCCATCTTTGCCAAGACCTGCTCGCTTCTCGGTATTCTAGCTCTGGATCCCCATAGAAGACAGGTTAGCTCTTAGTTTTCTGATTGCTGTCTACTTCTCCAACAGTGTTTGACAGCTGCGTGACTAATTGTAACGGTGAGATCAGACAAAAAACTACCAGCAGAAAGGAATGATGTCAGATCTCTCCGTCATTCTGGGTTAGCAGTTAAAAAGTAGGTGTTGGCTATTTTTGGATCGTTCATCAGTTTAAGAAAGAAAATGGGGGGAAAATCTGTCAAAACGACTGACGATCTGAAGTTAATCACTTGTTCTGATAATGTAACATTATCACCTCTGACGTTATGAACAGAGAAATATGTTATACGTCATATTGCATCCTCTGATCTATCAGTTAAGAGAGAGTTGCTTAAAGGCATATGTGCAAAAAAGATTTTCGAACACAACGTGTTACAAGGAAGAACCTTATGTAATTTGTGTTAGGTATATTCCCTGAGTACAGTACCTTAAAACAATGTACCATTTAGTAGTAGAGCATATCCACATTGATCAAATCTATCTCAGAGGCTTCTTGAAACATTGTACATTATGACAAATCAATACGTGTTGTATTACATTGATGAAAGACCCGTGAAGATCTGGGTTCGAATTGGTCTTCAACATGTTTGTCATAAGAGGCGACTAATGGATAGACATCAGGCTCACTGATTCGTTGTTATCGTCTCCCAACTGCGTAAATAGATGCTTGTGACGTCAGTAGCTGGAATATTGCTGAGCGCAGCAACAAATATGACTCTGACAAACCTTGGATCACTGCCAGCTGCGTGTTGCACGCCCTGGAATAACGCAGCCTGAACAAAACTCCCCGCACAGCAACACAATTATACATGCAAGTAAAATACCACGCGAGCTATTTGCAGGGATTTAGCTAGCTCAGCTCAGAGGGTTGTCTTACCCAAGTTGCAGCAAACGTGCATAAACATTCATAAATTAGCGTTAAAACATACCTTTTATGGATCTGTAGAGATGACGTGATAATAGGACCAATATAGAGAAAGGATTGAATTTGGGCAAAGACGATAGACTGGGCAACAAGTGCTATTACCAATGGTGCAGAGGGATGCTACATGACTCATGCACCACTGTTGAACTTTCTAGACAGAATATCCCAGTGATTCCACATCATTCTGTGCTTCCTAAGGCTGAGACAATACATATTGTTTTATGTGTACATAGAAGCGTTAAGAATGATTGTGGCTGCTACAGCTGGAACATATTTAAGACTAAATCCCTGATTTGTGCTAACTGATCCTCCTATGACACTCAGTGTAGAAGGGTTAGTACATTTAAGGCCCTAATGGATTTCTTTTTTCATCTAAATTAATTTTGTATATAGATTTATTGAAATTCTATATGATAAAACCCTATACAGCAATACTTGGTAGTCTTGTACAGCCTCTTCCTTTGATCTTGAAATCTCTTTGCATATACAGTAAACTATGTTTATAATGAACTGACGGATATGACGAACATATATTTTTGTCCCGGCCATTTGCTGTATATATGCTGTACATATGCTTATGACGAACTACGGTTATAACAAACTTAAAGTGGCCCCTTGTTCGTTGTTACCTGTAGTTTACTGTATATTTTTGTTGTAAAATTTGTAGCTCCCCACCATTTAACATTTTTCATTCACTCTCTCTCTCTCTCACTCACTCACACTCACTCACTCACTCACTCACTCACTCACTCACTCACCCACCCACCCACTCACACCACACCACACCACACCACACCACACCACACCACACCACACCACACCACACCACACCACACCACACCACACCACACCACACCACACCACACCACACCACACCACACCACATCACATCACATCACATCACATCACATCACACATGTGTTGAATTTTACAGACCCCCCTCTTTCACTGTCATTTTTTTCCGTGAGTTGCCACTTTCCCCCCATCCCAGGCTCCATAATAATGACCAGTCCCTCACAGGATTTAACTGAATGTGGTACGTGAATCTATATATTCCCCGTCTTCCTCCAGGAAATCCTGCAACAGACGAAACTCATGGAGAAGATCCGCAGTATCCAGAGCCTGGTGGCTCGCAAAAACAAAGTTGATGAACGTCACAAGATTGTCCAGGCCAAGATGGCTGCGACACGCAGCTTCAACTCCACACTGCCACTACCTACACCAGTCAAGCGGAGACGTATTCGACCAGAGTGGACTCTGAAACGTGACAGTCTCCACGCCTTGTCTGATCCCCTACCAGCCATCAACTTTGTCCTGGAGAACCTACATCTGTCCACAAAGTGATTCTGGAGAGAAGGGAGGGTTGCCAATATTTATTCCAGTGCTACAATTACACACAGTCTTGATACAGGGTATAGTGACAGCTTATGGAATACTGTATATGCTCCTCAGTAGTTCATATATCAATAACCATGTGATGTAGCTGGTCCTCACCTAGCTCCATCCTCCTAACTCTGGGATCAGATCACTTTCAAAAGACAATGTCATGTCTGACCAAGGCCCATCTCTGAAAGGACAGTGACCTGTCCGGGCTAGGGCAGTGACCTGGTTTGACAAGGGCAATGACCTGGCTTGGCAAGGGAAAGGATTAAGTTTGGGCAAAGACGATAGACTGGGCAATAAGTGCTATTACCAATGGTGCAGAGGGATGCTACATGCTTCGTGCACCACTGTTGAACTTCCAAGACAGAATATCCCAGTGATTCCACACTCATTCTGTGCTTCTTAAGGTTAAGACAATACATATTGTTTTATGTGTACATAGAAGCGTTAAGTATGAACTTGGCTGCAACTGTTCGGAAAGTGTGGAGCTTAATTTCTCTACATGTTATCATTACAAATTATGTACGGTCAAACACCCTTGTGAAGGGACCTATGTAAATACTAGTTATCCAAGGTTTGACACATAAAAATTATGAATAAAGAAGGAATACAAAGGGACCAAGCTTTTACTTCAAGACAACCATAAGTTCGACACGGTAATTGACTGTACATTATGGATCATGAAATGAATGTCACTACCGTGATTTGAAGATGTGTCAGAAATATCGAAGACGTTAATGTTTGTGAAACTTTCTTTGCACCCTACTCCACTTGGTAACATACAGTATTGATATGGCTTCAGTACTGAATTAAATAGTAAACACTGTAAATACATGGACACTGATTTGCACAAACTAGTTTACAAGCAGCTCAAATTATCCAGTGATCTGAGATGCCACAGCTTACTTTAAGTAGCATCCCTTTAGCTGTGTCTGGATCCACTGAGCCGTGTAGGTTGGCGCTGTCATGATTACACTGTAAACAATAGGATTAGTTTAGAACTTAGTTAAGTGTCTCAAGACCTGCTTGTGATAACTAGATGGGCAAAACCATCACACTACATTACCATAGTAACTTTATATTGTCTCTCTTATGGTGTAGAGGACTTCACTGTTTCTTAACTTTCTCTGCTAAACCTGTCCTCCTATATGTATTGAATCCACTGTGATTTAATAAATGCTATATATAAACTATGAATCATTGTTGTGTTGATATCAATAATCTATGCAGGTAGAACAGTCCACAGAGTTGATATCTGAAACCTAGGTTAGAAAGGATCTTTCTAACTGGGTCACACGGAACCAAAAAGTTCACAGCTACACAGAAAATAAACCTACACATCAGAACCTTAATTTTCATAGGCTGTTTGCCTGAAATATGGTAATTTTTGGCAGGCTTAGTCATCTAAAATTGAGACTGGTGGTTACGATTTTTCCTGAAAACAGTACTTGCCTAAATGTGTGTTGCACTATTTTGGCAAACTTTATTGAATTCAACGAAAATTCTTCACTTTGGAGGGGGCACCGTTTGCCCAGTCAACTGAAGCTGTTTTTGCTGTGCAGTTTCCTTAGAAATATATCTTCAAGGGTTCAAATCCCAGGTTTGTCCTGAGTATGTTCCAGATTTGTCAGCACCATAATATGCTGGCGGGTTCAATGTTCCAGATTTGTCAGCACCATAATATGCTGGCGGGTTCAATGTTCCAGATTTGTCAGCACCATAATATGCTGGTGGGTTCAATGTTCCAGACTTGTCAGCACCATAATATCCTGGTGGGTTCAATGTTCCAGACTTGTCAGCACCATAATATGCTGGTGGGTTCAATGTTCCAGACTTGTCAGCACCATAATATGCTGGTGGGTTCAATGTTCCAGATTTGTCAGCACCATAATATGCTGGTGGGTTCAATGTTCCAGACTTGTCAGTACCATAATATGCTGGTGGGTTCAATGTTCCAGATTTGTCAGCACCATAATATGCTGGTGGGTTCAATGTTCCAGATTTGTCAGCACCATAATATGCTGGTGGGTTCAATGTTCCAGATTTGTCAGCACCATAATATGCTGGTGGGTTCAACTGATGCCTGCAATACTTTGGGCTTATTTCATCAGACTCACATGCTATGATATATTTGAAATACCAAAAGACGTTAAAAGATGGTGCTTATTGTTACCCTGCCTGGTGCTTGGCATTTAGGGGCTAAAACAAGGACTGGACGGTCAGTATACTGTGTCTGAGTAGGGTATACATGTTAAACTATGTCATGGTATATCAGTGGGCTAGCACTATAAAAGTGGCATTAGTCCAGGCTAGTACAAGCAGACACACACCCACACACACACACACACACACACACACACACACTGTCACTATATAAGTGCAGCATTTGGACGGTTTAACCCCACCTCACCTCACCTCAGAACTATACTGTGGTCATGGATTTCACCAAAGAGGGACACCTCTAGGGCCCAAGCCATTTTGAGCTCTCTTGCCAAAAAAAAAAAATGCTAAAAAAATAATTGAAACTAAGTCGCATTAGGTCATATGCCACCAATGCTTGAAACTCAACATATGTTTTAAACCACATATTTTAATTTGTTGAAACATTTGGGTGAGGCTCCTGTGTCCTGACTAACAAATCATATTTAGTGTATATCATGTCCAACAACTTTTTCATCCAAGATACCTCCAGAGAATTGACATGTACTTATATACACGATGGCCAACAGTTTTGTCATCCAAGATAGCGTCAGAGAATTGACATGTATATATATATGATGGCCAACGGTTTTGTCATCCAAGATACCTTCAGAGAATTGACATGTATTTTATATACATGATGGCCAACGGTTTTGTCATCCAAGATACCTTCAGAGAATTGACATGTATTTTTATATACATGATGGCCAACAGTTTTGACATCCAAGTTACCTTCAGAGAATTGACCTGTATATTTATATATATGATGGCGAACGGTTTTGTCATCCAAGATACCTTCAGAGAATTGACATGTACTTATATACATGATGGCCAACAGTTTTGTCATCCAAGATAGCGTCAGAGAATTGTCATGTATTTTTATATATATGATGGCCAACGGTTTTGTCATCCAAGATACCTTCAGAGAATTGACATGTATTTTATATACATGATGGCCAACGGTTTTGTCATCCAAGATACCTTCAGAGAATTGACATGTATTTTATATATATGATGGCCAACAGTTTTGTCATCCAAGATACCTTCAGAAAATTGACATGTATTTTATATACATGACGGCCAACAGTTTTGTCATCCAAGATAGCGTCAGAAAATTGACATGTATTTATATATATATGATGGCCAACGGTTTTGTCAGTAACAGTGACAACATGCTAAGATTAACAGAAGTGCAAAGAAACAACGCCATAGGCCGCTTGCAGGCAGAGGAATCCCGATCAGCTGTAGCCATGGTTTTCAATGTATCCCAAATGATGGCCAACGGTTTTTTCATCCAAGATAGCGTCAGAGAATTGACGTATGTTTATATATATATATATGATGGCCAACAGTTTTCTCATCCAAGATAGCGTCAGAGAATATTCGTAGAAAGAACATCAAACATAACAAATCCACCCCCTTCACAGGTTTACATACAAAAGCTTTTTTAATCTTTTCCGCTCGAAAGAAAACTTTTAATACCATTTTATTAATATCTTGTAGGAAATAACCAGGAGGGTTACGGAGTGTAAGAAATATATAATTCAATTTTGAAATGCGCAAGGCCTTGTAAATTTGAAATATATTCTGAATTCCACTCAATTTTTAAACTGGGCAAATGCCTAACGGAGCTATTCAAATGGAATATGTTGTTTTTTACTTCTTTACACCACTGTCACAATCTATTTGTATTTGGCAATGCTTTTCCAGCTAAACCATTCAAAGAAATCAATGATGTTTTTTGCTCGGGCTCTGTAGTTGCCTTTGATGAGTATTCACAGAAAATACAGCCTGAATCATTTAATGACTTTATTATGGAACCTATCTTTTACAACAAAGACATCACCATTGATGATTGTCTTCTATTCAAAGTGATTTGATGGAGGTGTCAGCCAAGTACTAAAATTTATTAACCCTGAAGGAAACTACCTAAGACTTGAGCAATTCAGACACACTTTTGGACTTATGCCAGCTTCCTTAATTATCATGTGTTACTCAAAGATGTAGGGAAATACCAAGATAAGTTGAAAATATGTAAACCCACATCTTTTGCTCAATTTGATGATAATCCTGTTGTCAGGAAATTGCTATAAGTTTAGAAAGTGTGAATGCATCTTATACTCACCTCAAATTTAATTCAAGTGGGAGGAATGTGTTCTCGCTGAGTCTGAGGATGAATGTTTGTAAAACCACTTAAGACTTCTTTCGACTCCAACTTGAAATGGTTTCAGTTCAGAAATATCCACAGGATTATTCAACTAACTAAATGTATGTTTAACATCAAGACGGATGGCAATTTATGCTCTTTTTGTCAATTTGAATATGAACAATAACCCAGTTTTGGGGGAGTGTAAAGAAGTTCGAGGTTTCTTGCAATCACTGTTAAGCCGACATGAGGGAGAGTCCTCATATCCACAATGGACAGCAGTAGTGTAAAATTAATTCGAGTTATATATTGGGACATTCATCTCTTGTTAAATGACATATTTATCTCACCTGACAAATGTGCGAAAATTGCGGTAGCGGCCCTAGGTGTACCTCTAGTGAGTGAGTGAGTGAGTTGGGTTTAACGCCGCTTTGAACAGTATTCCAGTTATATCACGTCGGGTCAGATTATGGTGGGAGGAAAGCCCGAAGTGATGCAGCTCTCAGATGTTTACCACTTTGGTAAAACCCACGACAACGGGTATGGTGTTGAAACCGCTAGAAATAATAATCGGGGCGAACCGGTGTAGGAGGTTCAAATGACCCCCAAGACTCAGACGACTCTAGAGTCATTTGAGCCTCGGCTCAGATGACTCCCCTTTGGCCCAAACGACTCCCCCGTCGTAGGCTGAGATAATTCCCTAGGCTCAAATGACTCTCCCAATTGTTTTGAAGAATACAAATGTTTTGACACTAATTGTGCTACAGTCTGTCAATATCGTACACAAATAATATATTTTCCACGATACAGCACAGTATTTCGGTAATTGCACCCCATTTTTTCTACATATTGTGAAATTACCAGATTTTTTGCATTATAAGATTTTATGAGATAAATTAATTACTTTACCTTATGTTATATGTTAATAATTTTCCTTTTTTGAGGTTATTTGTATCGTCAAATTACCTTAAAGTGAGAAATTAGAAATCAGAAATTATTTCTTTGTGTATTTGAGCCTAGGCCCATATGACTCTAGAGTCAGATTAAGGGGGAGTCGTTTGAGCCTACTACACCGGGATTCGAACCCACGAGCATAGGTTTCTGTGTGCGCAAGGGACGTAACTCTGCACAGCGAATTGCGACGCCTCAGATGACTGGGCCACCCGCGCCCAAAGTGTATAGCCAGCTTTAAACTTACGCAGCGATGTAGAATATTAAATTCTACTGAGAGGGAGTAGAATTACGACATGATAAACTCGTGCAACGTAACATACAAGGCAACAGAGAAATAGATGGTCCTATCTAAGGTTTAAAGTAGTTCTTAGATTCCCCGCATGCACCTTAATGACTTATGTTGCCCAATTATTGAGGAAGGTAATGAATTACAGAAAATGTGATACCTTAGAGTTTGACGTCATTGCTTGTTTTATGCATTTGTTGACGTCGGAGAAAGACGACATCGGTATATTGATTAATATATCGCATCTAATTTTCGTTCACAGTAAGAAACATCTCATTTTGTAAAACAGAATTTGGTTCTTTTTAGATTCAACATAAAAATTAATACAATTTTTACCATGTAATTCTTGAATTGAAAAAAGATTAGGTTGATCGCGTATCAAATTAGACAAAACCTGCACCTGTTATGCATCAAATTTGCATGATCAAGAAATGAAAACATATTTCAAAACAAGTAAATATATTTTGGATATGTATTTGTTCATTAGTATATGCTTGTTTTTCTTCATTTCGTCTAAGAATTTTACGATAAAGAATGAAAAAAATACCAGTATACGGCATACGCGAAACACTATCCAATCTGGCGGTTCACTGTGGGTTCAAGGGCTCGACA